TGTCGTGCTAGTAAAAATGCCCCAAAAGGCTGCCCAAGGCAAACAACCAACCACAATGCTCGCGAATTTGGGTTATCCACCTCCTGATTTACAATAGAACCGCTAGGTGAGTCGTCAGACGGAGACAAGGGCGGCTTCCAATCATCCCCTTCGCTATCTGTATCGTCTGGAAGATCTGCACAGTCTGGCAGCTCGAGGAGAGACCGATCCCAGGGATGGACAAGCATGAAGGTTTGCTGAGTGGGCCTTGTCCGCAAGAACTGGACGATCGGCTTTTTGGTGGTGATCAGCAGGTCATAAAGCCCGTCTGCCTTGACTCCATATTGAGTCTCCTGCGATGTACTATAGCTCAGATGGACTTGTGTGACACGGAATACCATGCAAGGCAGATGTAGTCTGCAGTTCGCGAAACGAGCAGTGCTCGTGTTGTCAAGCCGGTCGTAAAGTTCTGAGGTCAAATCCACAACCATGGGATTAGCTCGCAGGGAAGAGATATTTGTCTGAATTTGATCTTCGGACAAAGATGGAAGGGCACGTGGAGGGGTGGCGTAAGAAGTGATATAGGCCGGAAGACAGCTATTAAACTCGGAAGGTTGTCCGACCCAGTCGAGGACAGTGATGTCTCCTGACCGAGCCACGATCTCCTGCAGGAGCCGCCTGAGCGCGTTCTGCTTCTTCTCTCCGTAGATTACAGGTAGGTGGACACCGAAGATTCCAAACAATGAGTACGCGATGTCTTCTTGCAATGTGGTGACCCGAGATGACGCCCATTGAAGGCTCTGTCGAGCGTCGCTCATCCCAGGACGAAAAAAAATCAGGGCCTGTGTATCTATTCCTGTCGCATGCTCCAACTCCTTCATGATTTCAGGGGACTCTTTGTGGTTGGAAGAGCGATCATTCAGATATAATGACCAATCATTCTGATAGAATAATACAACTTTCGGAGCGACGAACTCTTGAAAGGTCCATCCTCGCAGGTTCCAAACACTGCTCGCCAAAGCACCGGGATCGGATGAAGGAGGCACATCGGATAGGTATACAATAGTGAGCGCTGAATGGCGGTACCAGACGAACATGGAGTTCACCGATTCTTGAACCTCGGTGTTGCTCCTCTTGTCGATGCAGCACGTGTCCATCCACGCCCAGCGATACCCAGCATCACGAGCGACTTTGCAGAACGACTGCAATTTCACGATCCCGCCAAGTTCCTTCAACTCGCGCACATCGGTATCCTGAATGTCATGCAGCAGCACCTCCGTCTCTTCCCACCTGTGTGATAGCAAGACGCAGCGGAAGTATGCTGCTACCGCTTCCTTGATGCGGTCCATTTCAAGGTCTGAATGCTTCGTTGTGAACGACAAAAGCTCCTTATACTCTGCACTCGTTTTGAAGGCGTATATTTGGGCTGCCCGATCGCACAAAAGACCCGTGGAGGTATTAAGTAGACGCAGCGGAGTATATTCGAGTTCAGACCAGACTGCTCCTTGAATGGCGTCTTCTGCTTCAGATGTACAAACGTACTGCTGACGCAGATCTGCAAAACGAGATAGGCATTTCTAGACCATGCAGGAGTTTCCTATGGCTCACCTCGCATCTGGGCTTCGGGAGAATCATCCAACTTGGACAACATGATCTTGAAGGCCTTGATGGCTTCGTCGTAACGTTGCACGCCACGCAGCGCTGTATGCATCAACTCGTATCCAACGTGAGATGAAGGATTGAGTTCGGTAGCCTATGCATGCATTGCCAAAGTCAACATGGGCTACGAAATCATAGATGCCATCTACCTTTTGCGCATCAAGAAGCGCCTCCTCCCATAGCATTTTTCCCAACTTCGCCCTGCTGCGATTTGCGAAGGCAACATAGGATCCAGAATCCAGGTCGATCGCCGCCGAGTACAGCTCAATAGCCATGTCATATTTGCTTGCAGCGAGGGCAGCGTCTCCGCTTGTAAGACAGAGCGCACTGCATTCTTCCATGAACACTGAGTGAAATGGGGGCGAGAATTATAGCTCATGCAACATTAAGAACTCCAGACTTGCCTTTGGACCATTCAAGGCAGCTGGCCTTCGTTGTTTTGTCGGTATTGTCCATCATGTATTGATATGATCTCACGGCATGTTAAAGTTTACCCGCCCGAAGGAGTGCATCGCAACGTTTCTGGTGTGCAGTCGACCACAACGATCTGAGATCCCAGCCGAAGAGCTAAACAAGGGATTTTGTTATGAAAGTGGTTCGGGCGTGTGTTGACGTACCACCACCAAATCCTGATATATTTCATGGATGTTAAATTTCGATGATGAATCGCGGCAGTCAAAAGCGGCAGTGAAATGGTCGGCGGCTTCTTTGTGACATGCACCACCCAAGGCTTTGATTCCGAGTTGAACGTGTAGATATGCCTGATGTGCAAGTTGTAAAGATGACTGTTGACGACCAAGCATGGATGATACTTACTTGCACAACACAACGTGCGAGAGTGTCGGCATGTGGACAACCGGTAGTGAGTTCTTTGAGGAGCAGGTTTGCCTCGTCATGTTGATCTGCATTGAAGAGCGTGATAGCCTAAAAACGGGATGAAGCGGGGAGTATGCAAGGCAACTGCAAACATACTTTGATCAAGAGCAGAAAATGAAGGATTTGTGAGTCTTGGTCCGTGTACATCGATGCAACATCAAATGCTGCCCTCACATCTGGGACGAGGCCTTTTCCGCAGAGGGCAATACCCTTGGAGATATAGCCCATCAACGAGGGCTCAATGTTGATGGACATTGTCACCATCCAATTAGTCATTCATAAGGGAGCGGTGACGGGTCAGCAAATCTCACATTCATTGCATCCCGAAGAGCACGGTCCCAGTCGTGTTTCCACGCCATAACGAATGAACAATGGGCATAAGAAGTATGGTTGTTGGGATCAGTGTTGATATCTTGGGTGAGTAGTTCTTCGGCCGTAGATAGGTCGCCATTTACACATGCAATACGGGAGGTCGTGATGCCTAGGATCTGCACAAAACATGCTCAAATTGTGATATATATGAGTCAAAGACAGAACCATGCCTTTGAGCGATGGACGTAGGGAGTATGGTTGTTCCCATCGGTATCGATATCTTGCATGAGCAGGTCTTCGTCAGTAGATAAGTCTCCATCTATGTATGCATCGCGGACTGTTGGGATGGCGATAGTCTGCAAGGCGCACGCTCGATTTGTGGTATATGAGTCAGGAGAGAAAACATGCCTTTGGACGAGTACCCTGAGCCACTGCCCACTCCGAGATCATCTTATCGACGCCTCCGCTGAGGATGTGGTTGCCGTCCACGGAGAAAGTGACGCATAAGGTGTAGGATGAGTGCTCGAAGAAGGCAATGGTTCGTCGATCTGAGAGCTGCCAGAGACGAACATGGCTGTCACTAGATGTGGCGAGGAGTGTGCCAGCAGGATGAATGGCAATGGCACTGATGTGGTCAGTGTGGCTTGTCCAAGGATCCCCGACCTGCTTCCAGGTTGTTGTATCCCATTCACGTATGGTAGGATCATCCTCATCGCCACCTGTGAGAAGGCGCGTGCCATCGGGCGTCCATGCGAGTGACAAGTTCAATGATGTGTGAGCCTTGAATGATATGACGCGTTTCCTCGTGCCTGAATTGTAAATTTCGATATTGCCGAGTGTTGCGATGGCAAGAAGTTCTCCAGACGGTGAATACCGTACGCATTCGACAAAATTATCACACTCGATTGGATTTCCTTGCAGCTCCCAGGTTTCGGTATTCCACAGTTTCGTCGTTTTTTCCCAATATGCACCAGTGGCAAGCACTGTTCCATCGGGAGAAAAATCTAGCGAGTTGATCGAATAGGAGTGTGCTTCGATTTTGGTGAGTGATTCGCCAGTTTCTCCGTGCCAGACGATGACCTCTCCGCTTTCATCACCGCTTGCTATCAATTGTCCATCTCGTGATACTGCCAATGCCCGCACACGTTTGCGATGCCCTTCCATCTTCTTCAACACAACACCTGTCTTCAAGTCCCACAGACGAAGCGTCTTGTCGCCCGAGCCCGTAACCATCCGTCGTTTATCGGGGAAAACTGCAACTGCATTTATGCCTTCTTGATGACCTTTAAACTCTCGCAGGGGAGTGGTGATTGAATTGATGTTCGACATTCTACTGGATATTGATGGTGTTTAGCACGGTCGAGATGGACTTTGGACGGACCGTATCTTTCTCTAAGCTGTAGAGGTTCGTGTATGATGCGTTTTATAGCGCTTCACCGCGTTTCAATAGACGCCCAGGACGCTTAAGGCTGTTCGCTTCCACGCCTCCATCACTGTAATTGCCATACCCGCTGCCCTCAACGGTATGTCGTTCCAGCACTCCTGCAGTGCATACATGCATCCCACTCTTATCTTCGATTTTTGCAAGATGCATTTAATCGAGCAGTCGGTGCTTCCTAGATCTATCCTGCATTGTATTTTTTTTCTGAATCGAACAGCTACTCCAGCACATCGCCATGTCACTCCTTCGAACGCATGCAGATAGCCTATTGAAATATCACCCTTCATCCCACCGACTCTCAAGACCTGCTTGTGCACCAAATTTCTCCCCTCTGGCATCTCAAACTTATCAACAATTCTAAACAGAGGAGCGCTTTTCTTACAGCGCGGCTGTTTCTCTCTTTCTAGCAATATTGCGACAAGCCTTGGCCAGTCCCTGGGCCATTTGGTATGGGGGTGCAGAATCGCTTCAAGCTCACTCGTACGGTTGGTTGTGATTGCGCGGAACAGCATCAGGTGTCTCTCGTCCTCCTACTCCCAACCCAGTTCTTGAATCTCCCTACATCGAGAGCGTGGACGAGTGCCTCAACAACAGTCTCATCTAACCTAGGACGGAGGTCACGACGATCACGAGATGACACAACACGCATCCTGGGATCTCCGATACTGAGGCAAGATGAATTAGAAGTTTTGAATCACCTCGGACGCTGAACGGCTCACTGACACCAATTGAGGTGGATCAGGACTACCAAGTCAACGGATGAAGGGGTAACTCCACCAGACTCCAAAGACTCTGCCACCGTCTGCGTCATGTCAGGTGAAAATTGCTTTGTTGCAGTAGGCGCGAATTCTTTCATATGTTTGTGAATTCCTAGGTCGAAAACGAAAACGACTCGCTTACTGTTCTTCGAGTGACGCAGGAAGTGAGGGGTAAACCATTTGTTCGTCCAGTTGATCGCCAGCCGCGATTGAATCCCAAGGGACACTCAAGAACCCGCCTTGAAGACAGATACATACATATACGCCCGTTCGTCAGACGGAGAAGGGAGTGAAGGCGCTTCTGACATCGGTATCAAGTTCAAGTTGTAATGAATTCGACGCAACCTCACGAATGAAGAGGCTCGGACTAGGAACGAGAAAGAGACTAGATAGGATAATAGTCAGCAAAGTGTACGTAGGGCTGTAAATAAGAAAACTCACCTCAGTTTCGGATCAAAAGAATGAGAGATATTGTTTGAGCGGAGAGGTGTTAATATGTTAAGACGGAGAATCAAATTTCAAAGGTGAACGTGTATGGGGCAACATTGTAACGAGAAGTAATTGTGTATGTAAAAGAAAAGGTATGAGAGTGATGTATCTTAAGATGTAAGACTCAAATGCACTAGCTCATATAAATCAATGACATCATATAGGGAAAGCCGATGATTAGCTGAATGTTCATGTTTTCAGAAAGTTGGATTCTTGATAACACCGTACGTCACGCTAGTTACCTGTTCAAACACACCGAGTAAACCTGAAAATTCCAGATAATGGAGTTGCTGTTCAGTTTTACAAGACTCCATACGAATAACCGACTGATCAATGATGTTACCTGGACCGAGCCTGAAGTTGTGTGCTGGACGAAAGATAACGTATGGACAAGAACAAATACTAACATTCTTCGGTAACTTGAAGACTTTGTGAACGAGTTGTTGAACGTCGCACTCCACTGGATTTCAACAACTTGCAAGAACTCACCCCAAATTTTTACACCATAGATGAACATCTGTAGTCAACATTTGCATATTCGCGCCATGAATGCAGCCTGGAAAGCAAATATGAACGAACACGAACTGACAGCCTAGTCAATATCCTGCTTACTTCCACATTTACAGATCCGTGTGAATTGCCATCATCATTGTCATCGTTCCAGCGGATTGAGGGTCTCGGTGACCGATGTCGACTCCTCGAGCCGTAACCCGTTTGACAAGCGCCTAAGGATCGGAATAGGTACTAGTACCCTAGCTGTAAGCCACGTTGATACTACGTGAGAATGACCAAAGCATACCTCGTTAAAGGCACAGCTAGATACGTTCTGATACGTCCTCAACTATAGCAACGACCAGACATATCACAAAGTTTGCACATGGAAACTCGAGCGCTGGCCATATACGGTTAGCTCCACAACGAAGCTTTGATCAGGTGTTGATAACATGGAAGATAATCGATTCGATGATCGGGCATGCGTATAGCTATTAGCAATATCATGATGTTGATGTGCTCTGATATACTTATATATGATATGCTCCCGCGGAACCCGTGATTTTCAAACACCGACCTGAGTCACGATGCTTGACACCAATCATGATACTTACTACTGACGATGATGTATATGGCTCTGCTCATTCATGAATCACTCATCTATGCAGAGAAATCGAACTTCTAGAGCCTACTGTGGTCCAGGAGCAGGTCGGTATCGCTATCTAGGGCGCAGCCGCACTGTCCATGCCAACTTCGCAAGTACTACCTAAACCAGACAGGGTGCGTGCCGCACTTACTAAGTAGTAGATGGGAGCTGTCAACTAACGCTGTGTTTTCAAACTTAGGGTAGTACAGGACTGGACAAGATAAAGCTTCGGTTCGGCTCTCGGGGATCCCTTCTTTGGAGAACTATCATTAGCATTGCGCCGAGTCCGTTTCTACTGGATCTCCAGGTCATAATGGCTATCTTAAAACCACCTGAAGGCGTGAACTCCAGTGGGAACACAGGTGGAACGTGTCAGTAAGCGCTGACCAGGTGAGTTCTTGTTTGCGGTTAATAAGTTATGCTGATTGCGGTGCTTTTACATGGTCATATCCAATGTGACGAAATACTTTCCTACATTATATAACGATATTCTCTCCTCACCAGCTCCCTGATCGGCGCTCAATAAGCATTATTTTTATCTCACAAGGTTTTGAACAACGCACAGGATCGATTTGATCGTCACCGGCGTGACTGGCCCATCAGTAAATTTCGTTTCCTTTCTCGTATCTCCTATGGCAATGTGCCAGTAATGCATCGGCATGTCAACGGCATCGCTTGGCGTCTAAGGTTCATACTCATAAGATAGATGGGACAGCTTCTCGATGCCCCACGACCATGAACAACTCCACTAGTACACCGTTTCATCTTATTGATGATAATACGAGTGTGCTGTTTGCATTCCAGAGTGCTCATTATTTAGAAATAGCATGCTTCACACTTCTGGTTTACGATCTACTGACTACCTTCGGAGAAGAGGTGTGTGGTGGCTCATAGCGTTGTCAGGACTTCCCTCCATCAATTTTGCATCTCAGGTTGAATATTTCTGGTCCGGTCCATGGAGTTTATCCCGTGTTTTGTTTTTCTTGGTGAGCATTGTGGCTGTACTTTCTGTGAAGTGAGCTCTTATCTGACAGAGCTACTTTAGAACCGATACCTTCCATTTGTCGCCATGATGTAAGTACAATCAGTTGCCGCTCAAGGGGTTGTCCTGACATTTATCTGGTTTCGGACATCGAAGACCAACGAATGTTGGTGAGTACTATGGTTATTGGCTTCAACTTTTCAATGAATGATCGAATGTCTTAGCACTGTTTGGGACCGGGATACCAGCTCAGGTTTGATAATTTGTTTCTTACCATTAAATGCGCTCACCAAGTCACATCACAATCAATGATTCTTAGTCGTAAGGCTAAAATTATCCTTCTAAATGGCACATGAACTAATCATTGCATTGTTCAAGGTGCACTCATTGGATCCGCGCTGCATTTGAGCTTTCCATATTCGCAATCTGCGTCAACCAAGGTCCTAGTGGTCTCATATAAGTTACCGTAGATTGGCTAAAACATTGCAATAACAGGAATTCTCCTCCTCCGTGTGTGGTACATGTACTCTCATAGTGCCATTGCACGAGCAGTTGCATGTTTCAGCTATGCAGCATGCGTTGTATCATCCATCACAATGACAGGCTTGAGTCTCCCGTTCCTGCGGTCAACCACGGAATCTCTGCAGCTTCAGCGGCAGATAACAACCATTCCAGGATGTTCTGCGCCTTCACCATCGATAATATGGGCAGTTTTCGTTCCAAGTACCATCATCCACATGATCTTGTTTGGATTCACGATCGCACGAATTCTGAAGGTCTCTCGTGACTTGCGGATGGATCAATTGATGCAACGTTTGGTACGAGAGTGAGTTCCATTCTGTAAGTAGTATCCTCGGCCCACTTACCGATTATTCAGTGGTGGCCTTGTCTTCTTCGTCTCGATGGGTGAATGATGAATATTTCATGCACCCGTCTGCGCGCTAATTAGAACACAGCCTCGGCCACATTCTCCGTAGTCGGCGCTCGTTTGACCAAAGATCCTGTCGTACGTTACCTATCTTTCTCTTGGCCTGCGTGGCGCCTAATACTCCGGGATTACAGATCAACGGGCCAGCAACTTGGTCAAAGTGAATTTTTCCACTCGCATGTTTCATCAATGTTTGCTAAGCAGTGTAATTCTTTAGCTCACAGCTAGCGATCAGTGCAGTTGCGGTATCTCGGCTTATGCTCAGCATACACTCCCTCGCTGGGAAGTTGAAAATCGATCAAAATTGGTTATTCAACCCGTCTGAGCTCAGTAGGGTAAGGTGGTGGGCCGTCTCTGGTGATTATGGCAGGAGCATCGTGGTCGAGATGGACACACATGAACCAGTAGCACAAAAGGTATGATGTTAGCTGTGACATAATAAACGATATAATACCCATCAAATATCACCTCTGATGACACAAGTTAAGGAACATGGTCAAATAGCCAGGGACACTAAGCGGGGAGTAATGGTTAGTGATGTCCCTACTGTGATATGCTGGAAAGTGTGCTGGAGGAACAGGGAACTAAGGGCCGTGGCCAAGCCAGGGTGAGGCATCACAAATTTAAGTCAGAATGATGACTTTGAAGGTTTGCCAAGATGCAGGGTGTCATTTCATTACCGTTTGAAATTCAACATGGTCTGCCCCAATAATCTTTAAATCTGTGAAGCCCGGGGTATTGGGGCCCCTGCCTATAGACTAAACGCGAATAAACTCAGTGACTTTGTACCAACGATATCCGCTGACATAATCTTACCGTGCAGGTCAATCCGTCGTCCAGCGCCGTTCAATACTACCGTCCCTGTACTTCACGGATCCCTCGTATACTTTCGCGTCCTTGCCTTGTTTCTACAGGCACCAATGTTTGGATGTTTTGTGATGAGCCGAATAAGATGAGCCTGACGCTAGCAATGCTCGCCACAGGGACAGCGGTGTCTGTTTCAACATCAACGTACGACGGAGTCCCGGGCAACTGGCGTCCAATGCGAGAGCCCCTTGAGAAATTTTCATTTTTATTTTCCAACCCTACCTTCTGTGTTTGTACCGTCTCGTTGGACAGCAACCATGTCAGGATCCGTAAATTTGTGAGGAGCTACGCATGGCAAAGAAATCATAACCGTCGTGGTTAAATTCTGTCGATCAGTGTTCAGGTCAACTTGATACCCGGACCAGTACAATGGCTCGGGGTGATACGGACTGATTTGTGTTGGGACTATGTATTTCACCAGTTGAATCTGTTCTGAGACTTTGGTCCTGTTTGCACCTAATAATAGTTCTCACACATCTTTGGAGGCCTTGCAATGTCAATCCATTCATATTACTTGTGCTCATGACAAGCTCATGATCGACTTATATCATACACTGTGCACCTCATGTCTTTTACACCACCTCTATACCTCCAGTCGCTTCAGTCACGCAAGAAGGCGCACACCACCTACATAAACCTTTATGTCTCTTCCAGCTGTGGGACATGTGCTGAGTCCGTGGATTGTACCCACCGTACCTTCGGGATATGCTGAAAAAGGGGCTCCACGATCATGTCGTGTGCTTCATCGTATCTTCCGTTGATGAGCAATGTCGTCACCCAAGCCTGTCCATCAGGCACTGAGGCATTGGGTCGAGCCTATACAAGTGCCGCTTGTAAAATTCGTTCGTCGCGGCAATATACTCTGGATCCGTTGTTGTATCCACCGCCTCGTGCTTATTCAACGCATACTGTACTTCCTGCGACAACCCCTTCCTCAACTCATTTGCGGCCTTAACCCACAGCGCCATACTCGCTGGCAAGTCAGCAATCACCAGTTTCCCGAGGCCTTTTGGTTGGCGCGTTGTAAACTCTGATGCCAGCATCCCTCACCAGCTCTGTTCAAGTACGTTATAGTTGTCATGGATGCTTAAGTGGAGGTTGTGTAGCTCGTCAACGAAGAGCTGCGCAGTGTGGAAGTCCACATTTCCATTCTTCTTTGGGAGAGGCGTGGCCTAAAGCGTCCATTGCCAAGTTGATCATAAAACATAACAGGTACGTCGAAGAGACGCGTAAGCTCGGAGAGGATGTCGAGGTATTCGTGGGTTGGACTGAGACCGCCGTGAAGTACTACATGCATTCTGCAAACATTGAAGACAAAAGTGGGACTCATGTATGCACTGCAGGAGTGCTGGAACGGCATACCGTCGAGGACAGCGGGTATGGCAATCTGAGGGTGCATTACAGTAATGGAGGTGTGGAAGTGAACAGCCTTAAGGGTCCTAGGCGTCTATTGGAACCAGGCAATGAAGCACCATAAAACGCACAATACACGCCCCTCTATAGCTTAAACAATGACACAATGTCCATCTCGACCGTGCTCAACACCATCAACATCCAGTAAAATGTCGAATATTATTTCAATCACCACACCCCTGCAAGAGTTCAATGGCCACGGAGGCAGCATAAGTGTAGTCGCAGTTTTTCCCGATAAACGACGGATGGTTACGGGCTCGGATGACAAAACCCTTCGTATATGGGACATGAAGACAGGTGTTGTGTTGAAGACGATGGAAGGGCATCGCAACGTGGTGTCGGCATTGGCAGTATCACGAGATGGGACAATTGATAGCAAGCGGTGATGAAGGCGGAGACGGTCATCGTCCTGGCACGGAGACACTGGCGAATCACTCGCCAAAATCGAAGTACACTCCAAATGTATCTCCTCGCTGGATTTTTCTCTTGATGGAACAGTGCTTGCCACCGGTTCATATGACAGCAAAATGACGAAACTGTGGAATACTAAAACCTGGCAGCAGCAAGGAAATCCAATCGAGTCTGGTGCATTTGTCAACTGCGCACAGTATTCACCATCTGGAGAACTTCTTGCCATCGCAACAGACAGACATATCGAAATTTACGATTCAGGCACGAGGAAACGCGTCGCATCATTCAAGGCTCACATAGGAGATAACTTATCACTCTTGTGGACGCCCGATGGCACACGCCTTCTCACAAGCGGCAATGATCTCGATCCTACCATACGCGAATGGGATACAACAACATGGAATCAGGTCGGTGATCCCTGGACGGGCCACACTGACCACATCAATGCCATTGCCATTCATCCTGCTGGCACACTCGCCGCATCCGCATCTGATGACAACCATGTTCGTCTCTGGCAGCTCTCAGATCGACGAACCATTGCCGTCTTTGAGCACTCATACCTCACGCAATGCATCACTTTTTCCGTGGACGGCAATCACATCCTCAGTGGAGGTAAATATAAGATGATCTCAGAGTGGGCAGTACCTCAGGGTACTCATCCAAAGGCATGTTTCTGTCCCTGACTCATATACCACAAATCGAGCGTGCTTCTTGCAGACTATTGCCATCACAACAGCTCGCGATGCATACATAGATGGAGACTTATCTACCGACGAAGAACTACCCACGCAAGATATCACCACGGATGCAAACAACCATACTACTTCCTATGCCCATCGCTCAAAGGCATGTTTCTGTCCTTCACTCATACAAACCACGATCCGAGCATGTTTTGTGTAGATCCTAGCCATCACGACAGCCCGCAAAGCGTGCATAGATGGTGACTTATCTACTGCTGAAGATCTACTAACCCAAGATGTCAACAACGATCCAAACAACCATACTTCTTACGCCCATCGTTCATTTGTTATGGCGCGAAAACATGACTGGGACCGTGCCCTTTGGGATGCAATGAATGTAAGATTTGCTGAACAAATCATCGCTCCCTTATGAATGGCTAACTCGATGGTGACACAGTCCATCAACATCGAGCCCTCGTTGCCAGGCTATATCTCCAAGGGCATTGCCCTCTGCGGAAAAGGTCGCGTCCCGGATGCAAGGGCAGCATTTGATATTGCATCAATGTACACGGACCAAGATTTACAAATCCTCCATTTTCTGCTCTTGATCAAAGTATGTTACATTTGCCTCGCGTCCCTCTCCGCTTCATCGCATATTTCAGGCCGTCGCGCTCTTCAATGCAGATCAATATGACGAGGCAAACCTCCTCATCAAAGAACTCACTACCGGTTGTCCACATGCCGACACTCGCGCATGTCGTATCGTGGAAGTAGGCATCACGCAGCCACGCTGAGTCATCTGCATCGACGCTAATCTTTGCAACTTGCATATTAGGCATATTCACGTGTTCAATTTGGACTCGAAGCCTTGTGTGGCGCACGTCACGACGAAGCCGCTGTCCATTTCACTGCCGCCCTTGACTCCAGCAATTTACCGTCGAAATCGGACATTCATGAAATTTACGAGGATTTGGTGGTGGTACGTCAACACACACCCTGAAACGCTTTCATAACCAAATGCCTTGTTCAGCTCTTCGGCTGGGATCTCAAATCTTTGTGGCTCACTGCACATCAGAAACGTTGCGATGCACTCCTTCTGGCAGGCAAACTTCAAGATGCTGTGAGATCATACCGATACATGATGGACAGTATCGACGAAACAACGAGGGCCATCTGCCTTGAATGGTCCAACGGTAAGTCTGGAGTTTGCAATGTCATGCAGGCTACAATCCTCACCCGCATTTCACTTAGCTTTTACGGGAAAATGCAGCGCGCCCCTTCTGAGTGGCGGAGATGCTGCCCTCGCTGCAAGTGATTTTGACAGCGCGATTGACTTGTACTCGGCGGTGATCGACCTGGATTCTGCAACCGATGTCGTCTTTGCAAAATGTAGTCAGGGCAAAGTTAGGGAAAAGGCTGTGGGAGGAGGCGCTTCTCGACGCGCAAAAGGTACATGGCATCCATGATTTCGTGGCCCATGTTGACTTCGGCAATGCATGCATAGGCTACCGAACTCAATCCTTCATCTCACATTGGATACCAGCTGATGCATACAGCGCTGCGTGGCGCGCAACGCTACGACGAAGCCATCGAGGTCTTCAAAATCATGTTGTCCAAGTTGGACGATTCTCCCGAAGTTCAGATACGAGGTAAGTCAAAACTCCTGCATGATCTCGAAATGCATATCTCGTTCTGTAGATCTGCGTCAACAGTATGTTTGTCCATCGGAAGCAGAAGACTCTATTCAAAGAACAGTTTGGATTGAACTCGAATATACCCCCGTTGCGTCTACTTAATACCTCCACGGGTATTTTGTGCAATCGAGCAGCCCAAATATACGCCTTCAAAACGAGTGCAGAGTATAAGGCGCTTTTGGCATCCACAATGGAGCATTCAGACCTCGAAATGGACCGCATCAAGCAAGTGGTAGCAGCATACTTCCGCTGCGTCTTGCTGTCACACAGGTGGGAAGAGACGGAGGTGCTGCTGCACGACATTCAGGATACCGATGTGCGCGAGGTGAATGGAATTGGCGGGATCGCGAAACTTCAGTCGTTCTGCGTGGTAGCTCGCAATTCTGGGTATCGCTGGGCGTGGATGGACACGTGCTGCATCGACAAGAGGAGCAACACCGAGGTTCAAGAATCGGTCAACTCCATGTTCGTCTGGTACCGCCATTCAGCGCTCACTATTGTGTACCTATCCGATGTGCCTCCTTCATCCGATCCCGGTGCTTTGGCGAGGCAGTGTTTGGAACCAGCGAGGATGGACCTTTCAAGAGTTCGTCGCTCCGAAAGTTGTATTATTCTATCAGAATGATTGGTCATTATATCTCGATGATCGCTCTTCCAACCACAAGGAGTCCCCGGCAATCATGATGGAGTTGCAGGATGCGACGGGAATAGATGCACGGGCTCTGATCTCCTTTCGTCCTGGGATGAGCGACGCTCGACAGAGACTTCAATGGGCGTCATCTCGGGTCACCACATTGCAAGAAGACATCGCGTACTCATTGTTTGGTATCTTCGGTGTCCACCTACCCGTCATGTATGGCGAGAAGAAGCAGAATGCGCTCGGGCGGCTCCTGCAGGAGATCGTGGCTCGGTCGGGAGACATCACTGTCCTCGACTGGGTCGGACAACCTTCCGAGTTTAATAGCTGTCTTCCGGCCTATATCACTTCTTACGCCACTCCTCCACGCACCCTTCCATCCTTGCCCGAAGATCAGATTCAGAAAACTATTTCTTCCCTGCGAGAAAATTCCATGGCTGTGGATTTGGCTTTGAAACTTTATGACCGGCTTGATAACACGAGCGCTGCTCGTTTCGCGAACTGCAGACTACATCTGCCTTGCATGGCATTCCGTGTCACAGAGGTCGGTCTAAGCTACGATCCATCCCAGGAGACTCGATATGAAGTCAAGGCAGACGGGCTTTGTGACCTGTTGGTCGCCACTGCACAGCCGATTGTTCAGTTCTCGCAGACAAGGCCCACTCAGCAAGCCTTTGTCCTTGTCCGTCCCTGGGATCGGTCTCTCCTCGAGCTACCAGACTTTACAGATCTGCAAGACGATACGGAGAACGAAGGGGATTATTGGACGCCGCCCTCGTCTCCATCTGACGACTCACCTAGCCGTTCTGTCCTAAAACAGGAGGTGGACGATCTAGAATCGCGAGCATTGCGGTTGGTTGTTCGCCTTGGGCAGCCTTTTGGCGCATTTTTACTCGCGCGGCAGCGTGGCGGAGAATACAAGAGGGTCGCGTCGGATGGTGATATCATTGCGCAGGTCAAAGATGTGGCTTCTGTCCGAGACCTGATGGACGTCAGGACGATTGAAATACTGTAGATGCAATTTCCTTTGAAGATTAGGGATCTGAGCGGTTTTCACTGGTACTTTCGTATATCATACTACATGCGTGTGTATTTGTATTGGACTATGGTTTCCTTTCAAGCAGACCGTGGTGACCTATCTGCAGCATTTCCACGTCCGATACCACTAGACTACGCTCAGGCTCATCACCTATCTGCATGCATTTGGTGCTCGGATTCAACTTGAGCTCTAAGTCTCGTCACTTCCCAATGTACCACCCTTCGTCTTCACAAGTTGATGTAGTTATCGGTTAGTCAGTGTCAGGCATATGCATTTGGTCACTATATGATACATCTCGAAAGCCTGAAAACATGCACTCAGCCACCCCCACGGCCCCATTAACAGAACAATAGTCAAACGGAAATCAATAAAATTTGATAAGAAAACTCACTAACGCAAAGTATGCCTTGATGGAAGCTTGGCGTCCTATGTATAATTTTTAAGAAATTCAGTCCGGGTAAGGTTAATGAAACGGCAACGAAGTTCAAAGCAGACAATCAGATTGAGATTGCAAAACGTCAAGTCAATGTGGTGTCTTATCCATAAATCTCGAGGTCAGTCGTCCAAGTCAGCGAAAGCTTAGTATGTGGGCCCCATAGTACCATTTTTTTTAATGTTGCTGCTCCTTACGCATCCAAGTTCATCCAGAGCCAACCCCTTAAGGAAGTCTGTAGGAAATTTACAAAAGGTTTTTGCGAAAGACAATCTATACGTGGAGAAAAACTGTCGTACCAGGGTGATCAAAACGTCACAACCACGAGCATCCACGTAACCGGCACTGTATAGGCTAGCTATACGGCTGTTTTGCACCGCATTTAGTACATGACACCCCCGTGACATAGTCAGAGGAGAATCCCTTGCACCACAGAGGTATTTTGACGACGTAGTCTTAATGACCAAACTGACGGTCACACAAACGCCAACAGTGAATGGGCGAGTATCTTTTTGCGGATCTGCTCAGTTCTGGACCCTGCCGTATGCTGTGCCACTGCGACAGCTGGTATTTCCATGTCTGAAGATACGTTAACGACGGTCATGCATACGATAGGACAGGTTATAACTTACCAAATGTACCTGAATCAGGACCACCGATGCATCCTGCCTAGCCTCCTTGCTCTATGTATATCCTCAGCAGTTTTCACAGCCCGCTAAATGAAGGATGTACCGCGACGGAAGTGCTCTTCACCCGTGCACAGCATGTTGGTTCATCGGGAAGCCGAGCTTCCAAGACCCATCTCTATGATATATTCGTCTGTCCCGTGTCTTCTTATCTCTTCCACGACTTCTCCGGCCTTCTGAAACTCAGCCCAACTCTGATAATGCTCGTCGTTGGCCAGATCTATGGGTTCCGCGAATCGCACTCTTAGTACCAGCTACGGCATAGATTTGGCGTTTGCAACGAATTCCTTGTGCATAAATGACGCCTGGGTAGCCGAATTTGGCGAAGCCAGATATTGAAAGCTCGGAGGACCATTGTTGTAATGACCGCCGTTACGGTTTTGTCAGGGACATGGGGCGATATGATATCAGGAGCGCGTGGTAGTCTGCTGTCTCTGGGAGACGACGATTGATGCTCTGTTGTTCTAGGATATCCATACTCTCTGACAGTCCTATAGCGATACAATGTCCGTTTCGGAAGCAAGTGCATGCTGGTAGATCGGATAAGTCATACAATTTAGCATTCCTCGCGCTATAATCAGGAAGATGCCGTTGTGATACTCGCTTATTTCCTTGCACCTCAACTAATCTCTCCTGGACAAAGGCCCGCCATCGGTGATGTTCATTCCTGGAGATGCTCTCTCCGTTGACAGAAACCAAGGAACCTGCAGGCTGTGCAGTGTCGACATCCGAATCCTCCCGGTACCATTCTGGGAACTATCATACCTCAAAGGAGATTCACGCGTCCGTGGCCTTCAGTTGGAACTTGAAGCTTGAGTACTGAGTAGTCGATTTGTGGAACTGGACTGGGCAGAGATGAAATAGCTGTAGTATTAGTAGTAGTGTTGAAGGAGTGAAGCAGCGAAATACATATTCTGGAATCTTCCAGAAGGAGGGCGAATGAGAATGATCATTGATTGGAGGGAGTGTTGAATAAAAGCTAAAGTTCTTGGAGCTGAGGCGCTGACTTTCCAATGATATCGACCATGCGGAGCAGTTGAAGCCGGCACCACCGTTTGTCTACTCGGCCCATGGAGGCGCTGGTATGACCCAATAAGAGTACTTGAAAAGCGCCGGTGTTTTTGATCGATGTGTATCAAGAATTGAGGAAATCTCAACTTTGGTGGTGTCATGATACGCAATGCCGCAGTGCAACAGCAACACTCGGCAACGTTACTCGACACATTGTGCACGTTTTGTGCTGTGATATCGATTCGGCGTCATGATGGTTAATATTGGCTCATAATGCCAACATAATGAGTCGACTCTGCCGGCTGTGTGCTGACATGAGTCTAACTCATGGTCTACCACGTACAAAGGTGACCCTGACCGCTCCTAAATCCTTTTCCCGACCACATCTCTCTAGCTAGGGCCTTGGCATAAGCTGGTCTATACGAAATCATCATCTGGCAATTCTCAACCTCGCCTCTGACAACAACTCGGTAGATCACAAATCCACGCCTCCCAAGTGTGTATACTGCGCATTTCGTATATATCTTCGACTCATACACGTCACTTTTTTTCAAGGGCATTTTACATTGACCTCAGTCCCGCCGAATGAGCACCGCGGATGCACTGACATGTCTGGCGATTTCGCCCGATGGCCAGAAAATTGCTAGCGCTACTGCTCGTTCGGGGGCGACTATTACCGACATATCGTCAAAGAACACGCACCGATTAGAAATGCATGCAGAGGCACATACGCACGTCACTGCTGTAGCATGGTCTCCTGACGAAGGAAAAATTATATGCGTAATGTCGGACCACACTATACGTTGCTGGAATGTTACTTCAGCACACTCTGTAGGACCACCATTTGGAGGACACAATGACCTGATCATCACCGCGGGGTTTCTTCCTGACTCATCTCACGCAATAAGCTTGTCGAGGGATGGAGAGTTGCTCGTATGGAACACAGGGAGCGGGATGGTCACTCAACAAGTGACAGTGTCAAAGGCTTCTCAAACCATTTTCGTGGCGGCTCTATCTGTTGATAGTAGTCTCCTCGTTACTAGCGATACAAAGGAGGGCGTTGCCTGGGAGATACCAAAGTGTGCCCGACTAGCGGAGATCACACTTCCAAATATACCATTGCTTCAAGCCGCTATTATTCCGAATGATGATGGTCCCCGGGTGGTGCTTGCATTTGGCGACAGGTCCTTCTGGATATGGGACGCCAATACTGGAAAGCATGACAATGCACGCTTCGAAGGCCTTGATAAAGATGACATTCCCCTTGCCATGGCGGCTTCTCCAGATGGCAAGCTTTTGGCGCTGGAAATTGACGGCGACATCGATCACCCCACACGTTTCTATGATATGAAGGGTCACGAATTCACTACTTCCAACATGAAATGTACCCATCCATTTGCATTCTCACCGGACGGCAAGTTTTTTGCAGCCTCAAGCGTACCCTCGGATTCGAAGGATGGCTCTTGTAAACCAATCATCCGTTCAGTAGACGAGGCAAGGGATCTTACATCACGCGTTCGATTCTGACTACTAACAAAGTGAACTAGATTCGTGGTCGCAGCCCTCTTGATGTGAGATTTACGTTTATGATAGAACAGTAAACTCATGATATGCAATAGTTGTCTGCAACGATTATTCCGAAAGACAAAGGAAAACAACGTTCGTTAGGACTCAACCCAGCGTTCTTCGATCAACCGCCACCTTCTGGCAATGCAAAAGGTCGCCATGTAAGACGTCCCGGACTCGAATTCAAGTATATGCTAAAATTAATTTGTTAGATTCGATTTGGTTCTGGACCCTCGTCGAGCTCGGTTCACCAACAGGCCTCCACCGGTCAGGAACCGCGTGTCTCACCTCTTTCAAAAATTTGGAAACGGATTCGTCATCCTCGGTCTCCCGAGGCAAGGGAAACTCAACAGATGTCCTTGAGATCTGCCAATCGGGAACGGCGCATTCCACATCTTGCCAACATCTGGACACGGATTCGTCACCCTTCATCCCATAGGGTACCGTCGACTGACCATGTTGTCGGCGTACCACTCGCACAAGCTAAAAGGGTACGTTCAGCCAAATCGTTCTCAATAGCGCATCTTAAGAAATCCCTAGAGGATTGTAGTCTCGCGTCCACGTCAGAAAGCGACGACTCAGTCTTCTAATAGTGCCGGGGAAAATCCTCGATCGCAGTCGATGTCGACTGAACAAGGCTCGGCTCAGGCGTCTAGTGACACAAGGTATAATTACAAAGGAGCCACAGCCTCACATTTACGCCGCGAAGCTACATCTCAGAACGATTCGGCACAGTCGTCTAGGCAAGCTGGTCGACCAGGACATACACAAGGCCATAACGATGTAGAGGACCGGGAGAGCATTGGTTCAGGGATGGTCTATACGGAGCATGATACCCATAGTATCAAAGCGCATGGATGCTGGAATATTTTCTGGGACTGGTTGTGCTACAAAGGTGAATTTCTTCACATTTGAAGTGGACATAGTTAATTCATGCATTGTATCAGCGCTCTGATATTGCTCGTCTCCTGGTTGACTGTGTTCTATGTATTACATGCGCTATGTTGATATGTAAACTTGTCCTCCTGTGGCTATTGCCATGCGGGTCGTGTCAATGCCACATATCTTGTACGGTTTCGAGGAATTGACATGGCAATCGTTGTAATGCTGGTCTATGATCGTGGCGATTAACGAACTAAGATAGAAGGCCGAGAACAATCCCCATGGTCACTAACCTAAAGGACGTTTTTTTATGAATTCAAATTCAATTTTGATTTTGATTTTGCTTTTGCTTTTGTCGCTTCCTCTCAGGGAGTGTCAGCAAGCTCAAATATTCATTTCGCCATACTCCCAAGCGAGCAGCATCTCCCACTTGTGTGCAAAGGGCAGTATTGACCCGCCGTCCAATTTCAATGTTAAGCTGCCTGGATCAGTATTACATAGTATTTGCGGGTATCACGGTGATGTGCGCAGCCGATTGCGCAATCAAAGCTGAAACCAAGGGTGACCGAGATACGTAAAAATACGTTTGAACTTGTCCTTGGACAAGGTTCCTGCATTTGTTTTCCTTCATAGGTTTGCCTAGGTATCATACACCATTGTTCACTATGATTTATTATATTTGGGGGCAAATTCAGGTCAACTCAAGTCGTAACTTATGTTTGTTCAGTGACCCCCAAATTTTTTAAATAAAACGAGCACTGCGCTTGCTAATGAGACCGGCAGACCTTGGTAGATAACAAGTATAGCCAGCGGTCTTGTGAAGGACTCGGCCCGCTACCGAGCGATCAGTCTGCCTCCAATAATTTACTGGGTTAGAAGGTCGTTTAATAGTGTCTCCTTCTCGCTCATACTCGCTACATGTGTGCATGGTACAATTAAGAATCCACATGCCTAAGCCTTCTTCTAGTCTTGATTTTAAACTTGGGAAAAAGCCTAGGCATGTGGATTATATAGTAGACGAGGGGCATTTATGATATGACTGATGGAGGACTCCGAGTCCGACTTCCTATGCGCTTTACGCACAAGACTCTGTCGCAAAGATTCAACGCACAAATGCTGGATTTGGGGCTGGACACTCCAAGGTTGAAAGCCATGGCTACTGGGCGCAAGTTCTCCTTGTCATGGTTCAGCTGCCTTTTGAGCTTACATCAGGTCTCCTCTGCGTACTGTTAGCCAGTCTACGTGCAGCCGCGTGGCTATCGCAGAACACCAAGTATTGGTGTGTTGCCAGTTGCCCATTGGTTGCCTATGTGTGTGGGTTCGATATACTGAGAAGTGAGGTCAACCCTCCTCAAATTACAGTTTTGTGGCTAATTCTTCCATCTGCAAAGCAACGTCAACGCCGAAATGCATGAAAACGGTGCATCAACAACTCACATCTTCACAGTCCGATCGCGGCCCCCGCTGACAACTTTATCAGCAACGAAATCCACGCAGTAGACCTCGTCTGTATGACCAGGAAGGTCCGACTTAATTTTGTACGTTTTGAGGTCCCAAATCTGATGCAACAGCACGTCCATCAAACGAATATCTCGCTCGCGTACATGTCAAACTTACTTTGACCGTCGCATCCTTGCTGGCGCTTACCAGCATTCGTGAGTCTGCACTCCACGCAAGTCTGTAAACGGGGCCAACGTGTCCGCGCAGTGTAGCTACAAACTTGCCCAGTTGCCCAGCACCTGTGAGGTGATGGAAAAATTTGAATCAAGTTGCCATCTGACGTGCGACAGCCATCTAACGTACCTGAGCAATCCCATAGTCGCACTGCACTATCCCACCCAGCACTAGCTGCCCACCGGCCATCGGGGGAGAAGGCGACGTGAGATACTTGCCGTTGGTGGCCAGTCAGACGGGTCAAGGGCTTAGTTTTACCCCCTCCCGGTTCCGCGTTCGACGATGCAAATAGAGACCAAAGGAAGAGTGTGTGGTCGTCTGAGCCTGATATCAGTAGCTCTGGTGTTCGTGACACAAGCGCGATGTATCTTTTGAGAGCAAGTGCTTGAGCTAATGTTTTGTGTTAATTAAGAAATCTAACTCGTGTAGTTGAGAGCTTACCTTCCTCATCCGACGATGGACGCTTTCCGGTGTGATCGAATGGTCCAGTACGAAGTACGAAATCCGTATTGAGAGCAAGAGTGGTGACCCAATGAGCATGGTCTTTCAAAATATGAAGTTGTTTTCCCTGGAAAAATAGTATTAAGTAGTTGCGTGGGGAAAATGCAAAAATATGCCTACCCCTCGTGCATCCCATACTCTGACCGTACGGTCACTACTGGCCGTATAGAGTACTCCATGACCATCCAAACCGCCGCCTCCCCATTTAACAACATTTACGCTTGCAGTATGACCCCCAAGTGTGTATTCTAGTTTTCGTGTAGCCGTCGACCATACTCGCACAGTTCCGTCCTTAGATGAGGATGCCAATCGTGGGGTAGATGGGTTTCTGGTGGGTCAGAAGTAAATAACTTTGAGAGATCCAATAGACAATAACGCACAAGTGTACGGGCTCCCATGCCAAGGACGTCACCCATTTTGAATGGCCCTTCATTGCATCGCCCAGCGGTTTTCCAGTCTTAGGATCCCATAGCCTTACAAGGCCATCGTGGCCACCACTTGCCAATTTGCGTTCTAGTGGATCCCACTCCACGCACAGTACCCACCCAGTGTGGCCGGTCAACGTGTGCGACGGTGTTTCAGTATAAAGGTCCCATAGGCGCACATGCGTGTCACCTGAACCAGTCGCAAGTAAATTGCCGGTGGGGGAGAATGAAGCGCATAAGATCGGTGAGGAATGTCCTGATTTCACAATTACATTAACGATTATTGATGCAAGCCAATGGACAGTCAACAGACCTGAAAGTGTGGCAGAACATCGAGTAGCTGGGCGAACTTTGAATACAGACTGTGGAGCGCAGCGTACTACCAGGACGTCTTCTTCTGAGAATGCATAGGATGCGTGTGCTAGAACATCCACTTCTATTGATTTAGATATCACGATTCGCGTTGGAGCATTTGGTTTCGTCGCCTCCTCAGGTAGAGCAACATGAAAAGCAAATGGTACGTGCTCATCGTCGTCCTGGATCACAAAAAATCAGTAAACTAAAAACAGAGAGAAAATGTCTAACCTTTGTGCGTAGCTGATTGACGAGTACTTCAAGGCCTTCACGCGCAATGTTCGCTGGGAGGTTCACAGCAGGTGCTATCGGTGTGCCATCATGTTCATTCACAAATTGAACCACGACATTGGGCGATGCTTTCAGAGGCTCGGGCTCGGGCTTTGGGACGCCGTGATATAATTTTGGTCTTTTCGGAGGAGGAAGAAGTGTCGCCATTAGTATTATATCAAACTACAATCAGAGGAACTCTAGTAGTATACGAAAATTTGGGTCAGATCAATCGCGGGAATATCTCTCCTGTTATGAAATTAAGTTTTAACCTAAATACAATTTACCCCTGTGGTTGCTCAACAAGTGTTTACTTGTTCCAAGAGCCAACTACAGAATGGCAGTAACGAAAATCATTTTCCTGGACATTCTAACCGTTCTTCCGGTGCCTACTTCACCAAACACATGGAAGGTTAGGTCAGTCACAATAGTAGTCAACCACTCTCACTACTGCTTCATCTTTAGCATTTCCCACAGGCTTACGCTCAACTACAAAGAACTCACTTACAGAACAAAATGGGTCGAAACGACTGACATCGAATCCGTTTGCAAATCACTCGGAATACCACCTACAAGCATGCTCCCAGACGGGACACCAAAATACACACTCCCAGCACTAATTGATAACACCTTCACCCCTCCTGCCGTGCTCTCAGACTCGAATCCTATAATCGAGTACCTCGAGCGCACATATCCAGACCCAGATTCTTCTCGTGCAGTCTGTCCTCCTGCCAGCTGTGCTCTCCATGCCATCTTCGAGTATCACGTTGCCCAGTCCATAACAGCGCAGTTGCTACCTGTCATGGTCATGCACATGTACGACAAAAAGACCCCACGGGATCGCATCCACTTCCGTCAACGTACCGAAGCGGCATTTGGGGAAAAAACTCGAAGATATCGAGCTCAAGGGAAAAGATCGCGAGGAACACTGGAATAAAATTGAACGCGCGTTTGACCTGCTTGCAACATCTATGCGGGCAAGAAGTGGCCCAGGCGAATTATTCACGGGATCAAATCTATCTTTAGCAGACTGTACCTTAGGAGGTCTTTTGCTAGCTTTGCGCTACGATAGCCCGGACGAAGCTTGGATGAAGGTATCATCTTGGAGCAATGGGAAATGGATACGTTACATGGCTGCATTGTCGAAATGGACAGCTGTAGAGTAACTGCTTAGATCATTGATACCGAACGTTTCTTAGCTTTCTTTCCATTATAAGTCTGTTACACGGTTCAACACCTGTACATAGAGTTCAAATGAGAAAAATGAAACTCGAGATGAGATCTTGAGAATTGATGAATTGATAGACTTATCCTGAGTCTGAGTCAAAACGAGGTGAATTCTAGTCTCCCCTAGGCAGACCAAATAGACAGAAGACAGTCATTTCTTCTTTATTCTAGGTTAATTCCGATGCTGTACGAGACTTGCATGCCGTCTATACGAAAAACGAATGGGTAGGGAGTGAGTGGGATGTGCAAGTGAGAGGCAAGATTTAAATGGAGTGGCAATGACTGTAAGTGCTTTGCTAATGCTTATGTCCTGCACAAGCTGAAATGGAGTTGCGTGGTGAGGTGATGAAGGGAGGAATGAATTCGATGGTGGTCAGCCATAGAGAATTTATGGTCCTTGCACCATGTGCCGCACTTTAGTTGATGGTCAAGCTGTAGGCGGACCTGCAGATGATACACATTCAGCCCATTCAGAGATTGCAAGTCCGAGTATCACTTACGTAGTGAATTTCGCTTTTCCAGACGTAGCTTCTGTGCCCGCCTGAGCAGTGGTGAGGTACTGTGACGTACTCATGCCCTCGTTATCAATTAGGTGCTAGAAACAAAACAAAAAACACTGTTCACGTGTTCACGATCACATAACGATTGGCGAGACTTACCGAAAGGAATGGGTAAATGTCGCCCTGGAACGACTTGACTGTACCACTAGTCAGGAGAAAAGAGTAAACCTGGTTATATCCGTTGGATCCAGAGTACAAGTTCCTAAAATTCATTAATACGGAGCAGATAATTTGTGCAAATACAAATCAGCACCATTTGTGACCTTCGATCGATATGTTTTTCGAAATTGGGACAGCATGACCCGCAGCGTTGTACTGTGCAGAGATTGGTCCAGAGTTGACGTTTGCAAGCCAGATCATTATTTCGTTTGTATTCGAGCCGCCAGGTGTGTCAGATGTGAACAAGTCATAGGCGACGTCGGCTACGACCGCTCCGGTGTTCGACTGAGACCAATGCCAAGTAGACTATGGTACCAGAGAAATTAGCCTCGTACAGTCTGCGGTTTCGACGAACTCACAGGCATGTTGGAAATAGTGCTCAGCTGTTGATTGATGCCGGTGTTAAGCTGGATATTGGCAAAGCTCTTGACTCCGTTTCCGCCAGTCCAAGTCCAGTTCGTTTTCCAGGCAATAGTACTGCCTTTCATCGACGTAATCTGAGAGGTTTGAGAGCCAGAGGCAGCACCATTCTCGCCCCAAAGATTATTCAGCAACGAATACTGTCCCACATTGACAGAATCATATTGCCCGCTCAGCGGCGCAGTGTCGACTCTCACATAATGCTTGTGCATGTGGGGTGTGCTGGAAACAAGAGGCACGCATAAGAGGAGCAGAGAGAGAGAGAACATGTCGATGAAGATTGAAGCGAATCTGCGAGAGCATTCTGGCAGGTCACACAATTTGTACGCTGCTCGACGCCCGAATGCCGGCAAATGATTGATCATGGTTTCCCCGTCATTCGGCAATGCATATTGACATGATCGAATATGCGTGTGCGACGCCCATTTCAAGGGTCACTTTTGTTTTATACTTCAGTAGTTATGCTGCCAGAAGCGAGCAGCGAATGTGCAAGTGGGTTTATTGGCTACTAGATACACTGCGGATATTCAAATTTCAAGCTAGTAGTTATGCTAGGTTGGAGTGAGCTTACCCTTATAGATATTGGGGTGACTGCCACACCCCCTGTAGTTCAGACATTCCCTGACATTTAATGTGCTTGCCCATCGTTCCCCACTAGTAGCCAGTCATTTTGCCGACGCAACTGTCTATCGATTAGGCTGGACAATGGATATGTTTTAGTATGCAATGCGCTGCTGTTGCGAGCTTCGTGTTTGCTGGTGAGATAGCCTAGCCGCAGAAACACCTAGGAACACCAAAGTTTTGGGTTGACAACAGATATGGCGGCGCGAAGTTTAAAATGATTGTGACAGGATTGTGATGCAACAACTAGTCACAAATTTCATTTCAAGTGTCCACGTAGCTTATTGAGTTATGTTCCTTGTTCCTGCAGATTTCCGCCCTAGCAGCTAGTCCTAGTGGGAGAAGGACTTTAAAGTGTTAGGGTCGGGATCATCAATGGTCACCCAGAATCACCCGTTTTCACATCCACCTCCGAGTTCCGGGACCCACCACTGTGTCTAGAGATGCGGCGACGGACGACATAGTACCATGGCTAGTCGTGATCACACAAGACTCAATGATAGAACGGTAGCTGGTCGTCAATGAGTTCACGTGTTTTCCGTCAAAATGAGCTCGATTTGGTTTGCTCTGCAGCCTGAGCAAGGAACACGTTCGACTAGAAAGAAAAATCGGGACGAAAGCCACTATCCAGGATTCCAGTTACCAGTTGCAACATGCTCCCAAACTGAACCAATGATTACCGGCGTATTCAGGGTTATCGTGCCAGCCAGTCGCCCACAAAATGTCTTAGGGAGTGAAGATGATTCGCTGTAGCACTAGCGACCAGTCCCAACCTGACGTTCAGGCCCTACTTGCTAGCATTCCATCAGGCCCATTTTTTTGACAATGACGATTGGACTTCCGAAATATCAGGCAGGTTTAGGTATGCCAATTTCAATTATGTTCATGTTTTCAGCTTACACCAGTAGCACAGACGCTTAGTTAGACCCAGAAGTCACGGAATCCGAATGGAATAACCAGGGTAGCGCGGATAACTTGAGCATGCAAGCTTGGTTGTGAGAACAGTAGTGCTCAGTCTCAATATACCGAAGACATGCGGTGCGCACGCCGAATGCGTAAATAAACAATGTACTGATCTAATGTCATTGATAACAGGTATGGTGTTTAGCAACCGCAAAGTCTTAGGTTACCCGTGAAATCGGTGAGCTGCATTCAGTCATGAACAGCTGGGTCTCAATGTATTGTTAGGTTTCCATTGCCCTGTCGGCCTCTACTTCAAACGGCAGTGATTCTTTATGCGTTAGACCGATAGTATCACCGCTTCACCTGCTATCGCAAATGTAGTGCATCAGTCTTTACACCTCAAATTCGTATGACTGAGAGTACCTGGTGGATAACGGGCCTTGCCAGGTGCCGCCGTGCGGTGCAGGTGTGCACAGTAAATTGTATTCTTGTAGTGCGGTCAACGTCGTTTTTGCAGTGCCTTCGTATGTATGGATGTCTAGAAGCACTAACCTTCCTGCGCAGCAGAAGTCACTTTGAGCACTGCCAAATGGACGGGGTGCAGTATCCCGTAGTTGCCGGTGAGCTTTGAAGCCATACTTGGCGGGAGGGCTGTGTGGCAGTGCACCGGACACTCCATACGCGCTCCCGACCGGAATTCCACACAGAATGTGCGCACAAGGCAATGCCTCGGTTTTCACTGCGTAGATCCCATGGGCCATTGTATGCTGTGAGTTGTGATTCTGCTGCGGAAAATCATTCATCGTAGACCAGAAAAAATCATATTGCATGACCGCAATCATTGTCAAGTAGTTTCAGTTAGTGCCAGCGAAGTATGTTTGTTCCTCTCGAAATACTAATTTTCTCAATTCTCCTTTGAACGATGCTAATGCCCATCGTTGGGATGCTTTCAAGATCATGCTCGTCTCTGATTGGCGATGCTATCGTCGGCGGTGCCTGGACTAGCGCTTGCATTGCGCGTCTGATGATACAATTCGAACCCTGCACCAAGGGCTGTGCGATTTTTCAATTTAACTGGCGCCTATCGATCAATTTTGGCCGGTGATGCTAATGATATTGCTACACGCCAATCAGCTGACTAGTGACTGGCTGTGAGGTTATCAAATTATTGGGTTTTCATGGAATGAACTTCTAATGGGCCCCTATAGGTTCTGGCCACATTACGCCCACCTACCCCGCTGACCGGTTGATCGGCGACCCCAAATCCTTGCGGGTTAGAGGGGGGAATATATGCCGTACGCGACCAAAATAGGTTGATGGCGTCTCTGGATGGTCATGCCCCTCATAGTATAAGTATGGGACTATCAGTCACAGTACCGAGCAGTGCTCCGTCTACTACCCATGCCAAGCATGTCTACCATGGACAACGGCGGGAACCATACCTTCAGCAGGAGTCGCAAGAAGCTCTCACAGCGACTCTACCGTTCAACCGAGGCAGAAGACTTTGAACAACTGCGACAGATCATACAAGAAATAACTAAAGAGAGTCCCCTCACAAGACATGATGTTCTGATAAAAGGTTCGTGGGTTTAAATAACTCGGGATTGAAGAATTTACTGAACTTCATTGTAGCTATTGGGATCATCAGGCATCTTGATAGAGAGTACCGGTCTCTTCTCACAGAACATGTTACGGCTTTGGTCCCTACTTGTCCCTCTGGCTCTTCTACGCCACAGCCTACTTTCTATCCGTCAGGTGAGTTTGTCGCCTACCAAATCTTGGATGATGTTGCTGATAATCAAGCCAGCACCGCAATTTCCAGCTGAGAGTTGGTCAATGAACCATAACGTACAACCGATGTCGATGGATCCACATATGCTACCTTCTCAATCGTCAAATAACATCGCATACAGCACTTATGACAGACACAACATGTATGCCATGCATAATTACTATGGTTCACCTACCAACCATTGATGCTCACTATCTTTCCTTTTCCTTACATTACTCAGTAGACTTGATAGACAAGAATGTGCACTGTACCGCTCAGTACGGCTCATCAGCAAATACTATTATCATACAGCATTTATATACGGCTATTTAAGCACTGACCCGGCACCAGAACACCGGAAGCATCCGCAGAGGCGCTGGCGTCATAGTTATATGCTTCTTGGAGATGATTTCTATATTTATGATATACCGCGGAAACTGTTACATAAGACACGGCGCTCTGATAGCATCATGTACTTCTTAGACTTTAACGCAAGGTTTACATTTCGAGACTAGTTGCACGAAAGATCTGTGTGAACCTTCCGAGAAGCGAAGCCCCAGTGACGAGTGCGAGTTTAACGTGAATGCACGAGCCTTGACTAAGTTAAGAATGGGTCTGGAAAGCTGAGTCTGTGCTTTTTGTAAGAACAGTAGTGAAGAAGAAGAAGAAGCAGCGGAAAGAACCGGACTTGAAAGCGGCTAGATAATCGTAGGGATTACATAAGAGACATGAAGGACGAACGCGTTCACCGTGACAGACATCATTTGTTGTCCCTTCCAAATTCCTCCATCTCTCTCTTCTTGGTCATTTACTTGTTCCTGCGCGCCTTTGGTCCTTTGGTCGTCTTCTGCCGTGACTCTGTTCTTTTGTCTTCCAATACGTACCTCCCCGGCATCTGTCAGCCGTGCCAAGTTCGCGTGCCTCGGGGTTGGAGTCTTCCTCCCTTGGCACGCACCTGGTCACAGGCCAATCCTTCTGATGACAGATTTATCCTTGTCCCTGGGCCACACCATGGGAAGGCCCCCTTCTCCTCGCTTGTCTCTTCCTTCTTCCTTCCCTTGCCACGCCAGAACCTGAAAACCAACACTGCTTATTTTCGTGCCCTAGCAACCGCCCATCTTCCTCCTTTCCTTCTTACCTGCGCAATACCAAGGCTCTCTGCCGCCGCCATATAACAATTCTGTGACTTGAGATAGAGCAATCAGGAAAGTAAAACTAGGATAGTACAACGATCAGATAAGCTTAACTCTTGGTACACCAACCCCTGAACAGCGATCCGTTTCGAGCTAATCTGTTAATCGGCTATAGTAGAACCGGCGGTTAAGTTGTAATTTTAGTAACACCGTACCGGGCTCTATAGGGCGATGCCATAGAGCATTATCTGATCCTTTGGATCAATATAGCTAGCCACCCACAGCGAACGTCAATAACTCGCAAGAACTTACAGATGACAACAACAAACATCTTATTCCTGGACATCCCAACTGCCCTTCCAGTGCCTTTCTCACCAAACACATGGAAAGTCAGGTCAGTGTTGATAACAGTCAACGCCTGTCACCGCTACCTCATCTTGGCTTTCACAGACTCGCACTGAACTACAAGAAACTGACCTATGTCACAAAATGGGTCGAGACGACTAGTATCGCATCTGTGTGCAAATCGCTCGGAATACCGCCTACGAGCACATTACCAGATGGAACATCGAAATACACACTCCCTGCGTTAATAGATAACACCACATCTCCTCCTGCTCTTCTCTCGGACTCAACGCCAATAATCGAATACTTAGAGCGCACATACCCAGACCCCGATTCCTCCCGCGCACTCTGCGCACCCGCCAGTCGCGCCCTCCACGCTCTCTTCGAATATCACGTCGCGCACTCCATAACAGTACAGTTACTACCCGTCATGGTTATGCACATGCACGACAAGAAGACCTTACAAGATCGCACCCACTTCCGTAAACGCACCGAAGCGGCGTTTGGAAGGAAACTCGAGGATATAGAACTCAGGGGCAAGGAGCGCGAAGCACACTGGAAGAAGATCGAAGACGCGTTTGACCTCCTTGCAACATTTATGCGGGCTGGGGGCACCGCAGGAGAATTATTTACGGGATCGAATCTATCTCTGGCGGATTGTATACTAGGAGGTCTTTTGTTAACTTTCCGCTACACCAGCCCGGACGAAGCCTGGATTAAGATCTCGGCTTGGAACGATGGGAAATGGATACGTTACATGTCCGCCTTGGAGGAATGGACGACTGTAGTATAAATAGCTTATCAGTCGATAGCAAACGTTGCTTAGCTCCCTTTCAATTATAGGTCTGCGGCGGCGGTCCAACAACTTTGGGAGTTTGAATGGGAAGAATGATTAGACTTCAGGCCTGGTACTCTGGGTTTCATCCTAGTCCCCCTATGCGAGTCTGGGCCTGATTTTTGAAACACGGGGTGAATTCCGTTGCTATACATGACATCGGTAATGAATGTACACGGAAAACGGCTATCAAAGCAAACGAAGGGATTCAATATGGCTTCAAAAAGGAATTGGCGCTGTACGACACTTTAAATGGATATATGTAGACGCCGTGTTTCTTGTATACCGAAACCGGCTTTCAAAGCGAGCGGGTAGGAAACAAGTGGGGTATTTACTTGAGTAAACGGCAAGTCGAAAGAGTAGGGGGTATATCAGCAAGACCACGTACTGTGTACTCGTGCACAGCACGATGTGAGTGATAAAGTCGAAAGAATAAAAATGCATCTCCGATGACGCACTGAGTGTAAGAGGCCAAAGCTCTTACACTAGCGATACAAATATCCTCGCACCATGTACATCGAGACCCGTACAATGGGCACATCAACTAATTTTAGTTGACAGCCAAGCTGTAGCCTTGCCTGCAAAAAAAACACATTCAACCCCTTCATAGAGCACCAACATGTGTCACTTACGTAGTGAATTGTGCTGCTCCAGATGTGACCTCTGTCCCTCCCTGAGCACAAGTAAGATACTGGGTTGAGCTGATGCCCTCATTGTCAATCAGGTACTGAAGACAGAAAAAAATCAGTTCACACGCGTTCATAAAGATACAATAACTGGGAGACATACCGAAAGGAATGGGTAAATGTCACCACTGAACGAGTTGATGGTGCCGCTGGTCAGGAGAAACGAGTAAACTTGGTTGACTCCGTTGAATCCAGAGTACAAGTCCCTGCAATCAAACGAAAAACATCAATGCGGTGCAGATAATTATGCAGATGCAAAGCTTACCAGGTGTAACCTTCCAACGGGATGTTGGTCACGATAGGAACAGCTTGGCCCTCAGCATTGTAATCCTTGGAGATTGGTCCAGAGTTGATGTTTGCAAGCCAGACCATCAGTTCGTTTACGTTCGAGCCGTCAGGGCTCCAAGATGTGAACAGGTCGTAGGCCACATCAGCCACGACTTCGTTGGTCGACTGAGTCCACTGCCAGCTAGTCTATGGTGTCAGAAAAAATTAGCCTTGTGCGGTCCGCGGTTTCGACAAACTTACGGGTATGCTGGAAATAGCACTCAGCTGTTGATTGATGCCGTTATTAAGCTGAACATTGGCGAAGGTCTTGACTTGGCTTCCACCAGTCCAGGTGTACGTGGTTGTCCAGCCAATAGTACTACCGCTGAATGACGTGATCTGAGATTCTTGGGAGCCCGAGGTAGCATTTTTCTCGTCCCATAGATCATTGAACAGCGAGTACGGTCCCGCATGAACAGAGTCCCATTGACCCGTGAGCAATGCGGTGTCGACAGCTCTAGTATGCACCTTGCGCATGCGGTGCATACTGTGGCGAGACGTGCTGGAGACGAGAGGAATCAACAAGAGGAGGAAGGAGAAAAAAAACATGTTGAAAATGGAATGGGTTGAGTAAGAGTAGAGCATGCAGGTCACATACTTTATAGGTTGTTTGAACACGCCAGCAAATGGTGACTACCATTAATCCCTCTTTCAACCCGCCATGTGGTGCATAACGACACGAACGACTACTTGAGAACATATCTCTGTCGTTACATTGCCACTACCAGTACGCTGGCCAGGCCGATGATCGTATGTGATCATGCATAGATTCAAGGCGGCCTGCGACACAAAAGTTGTCTGGGTCCCGCAGTGATGTTTGAATGACCTGATAAACGATGGTTAGTAAGAAGTAGCACTCACCTGGTACGCCTAAAGTTCGGAGCGATCCCCGCGGATGGCGTGCTTGGCTACCGTTTCCGTGGAAGTTGAATTGAACGACCGTTGTCCGAACAGACTCGGATGGATAATACTATCATGCATACTATCGGTGTGGTACGGTATAACCTATCTTCTTCAAGTTGTGGTCCCGCGGCCTACAAATGGAGACATTAATATTGCGATTAATGATATAGATATCTGAAGCCGCGGGAACAAACCAAGTTTAGCTTTCAGTGATTTCATAGCGGACGGACAGGCGTGTGTGTCGCAGTCTATTCCAGCCTGGGTCACAGCTCCTTCTCCAATGCGACGGCCATGACACCAAGAGTTTTGTTCCCAAGCACTGACTCTACTACTAATCTTCCAGCTGCCCCAATTACTCACCTTCCATTCCGGCGGATCTCACTACCAAGCGTACCGAGCTCGAGCCTCTTATCTGCCCAACACCGTCAATCTGTCGCTAGTTTTGCATCATTCGATTCTCTGCCCGAGGAGCCAGTCGTCAAGCGCCCTAAACGTCGTTCACTGAAGCGCAAACAATCCAGGACACCTGCACCAGAAGATATAGCACGAGAGGCAAAACGAACAAAGGTAATAAGAGAGTTTTGGGATACAGAAAGAAGTTATGTACAGGGACTGGATCTCGTGCATGATGTGAGTATTGATGGCCCTTGATTTGAATGAGATGAACTGATTTCCTATGCAGCACTTCTTGACGCCGATCATAGCGTCGCTCGACAGTTCCCGCCCACTCCTTACGCGCACGGAATTGACTACCATTTTCTCAAATTTTATTGACATTTGGAACTTTCATCATGCATTTTTCAGTGCCCTGACTGCGCTGCTACATCCCTCTCTGACTCACCTTGATGTCCCAAATCCTAACCCACCGCCCCTTTCAGCACTCCTTCTCTCGCATTTTCCTTATCTCTCTCTTTACACCCCATTTATAACCGCATTTCCAAGTTCTATATCTTTCCTTTCCCGTCCACCTGCGCCATTTGCCATATTTCTACGAACACAAGAGCGCGATCCACGCTGCGGGCAGCTAAAACTCACGGATTGGCTTTTGAGCATCGTACAAAGGTGCCCAAGGTATGTCTTATTGCTCAAGGAGTTGATCCATGTAGAAAGGAGAGAAAAGGAAGGAGAGGGAGAGTGGGATAGACTAGGAAAGGCCCTCACCCTTGTTGAGAAAGGTGAGTCTATTTATTCGTCCGTGTCTCTAAATTGAACAACCACCAGTGACATCATCTCTCAATACATCTCTTCATGCGCACGCACATACACTCTCACTCCTCGCATTGCAACGCGCTACCCTCGGCCTCCCGCCTACCCTACACTTCGTTCAGCCAGGCCGCACCTTAATCTTCCGCGCTCCTCTCGTGATAGACTCCGGTGGTGTAGCCATAGAAGGCCCAGCAATAGGGAGAGGCAGGCGAGATCGCATATGTGAATTTCTGCTATTCGACGACATATTAGGTATGGCTAGACTTCGATCCGTCCACTCTGCGCGATTCCCACTGGTTCACTCTCGCGGCACATGCTACCGCTAGCGACGAGCGGCATACATACACGTACAGAAATCATCTTTCCCTCGTCGATATCGAGGCGGTGCTCGATCCGTCGCATCATCCTCCCCGACTGGAGGTGTTGAGCCCTGGAGGCTCGTTCGCGGTATATGCGGTCCCGTCGCAACCCCCATCGCCAAGGCGTCTTTCTTCCTCTGCTTCGGAATCTGCATTAGCCACTCGTCGTACAACTCCCTTAATCTCGGCATCGTCGAACGATACTTCTCTACATACCTTTCTCCATCTTTTGCGCCAGGCCCGATCTGCGCTCCTGGCGCGTGATCCGTCAATCGCGCTCCGGGGTGTTAGGATGCGTGGGGTGTTGTGGGCGGAGGCATATGAACCCGAGGAGAGGGATGAACATGTGTCTCAGATCCAAGAATACGAAGTGCCCACTTTAGACACTCGACAGCAAAAGCTCCCCGATTCAGCATCTCAGCAAATACCAAATCTAACAACTCCAGACCGGGTAGAAGAGCTCCCTCTCTCCGCCCGACCCCAACGCGCACCCTTGCCCTTCCTACCCCCGGTCTGGGTCCCGGACGCAAAGACAGACGCATGTATGCGGTGTGCACGCCCGTTTGGGCTTGTGAGGTTCACGGTACCTCTATCGATGTCTGTGTCTTTCTCTTTGCCGTCGTTTACCTCGTTTGAGTGGGGGAGGAGTGCAAGTCAAGGTCAAGAGGATAAGGGCACGGGCGAAGAAGGCGTGGGCGAGAGCAGCGAGGGAAATGCACAGGAAGGTGGGAGTGGTGGGGGAGAAGGAAGAGCTGGGAGTGGTGAAGGGATGTGGAGAAGACGGCACCATTGTAGGCTTTGTGGGAGGGTTGTGTGTGCTGAGTGCTCTGGACGGGTAAGTCTTGCATTTTATTTAACTGTTTCCCTGTTCTCTGTTGTTCGTTTGCTTTTTCGCTACAGTTGATCCTTTGGTTCTTCACACCGCAAACTAACACACCTTAACTCAGACATTCTACATCACCGACCCATCCTCCCAATCCCCTTCTGGCAAAAACACCAAAGCGAAACCTGCACGCGCATGCAACGAATGCTACGAAGCTGCCTTTCCTCTCGTCCAGTCCATCACCGGCGGTTCTAGTACTCCATCTACTTTGTCAGCAAATCCATCTACACACCACTCCCCAACCCTCCACGGTATCCCAGCCTGGATCTCTACGCCTATCCCCACTGAAGGGAGTAGTGGTGCTCATGCGTTGATGGCGATGACATTGAACCCTAGTAGGGGTCGGATTGCGTCGGGTGCGAGTCCGTCGAGGAGGAGATTGAGTTCTAGTGCGAGTAAGCGAGAGATGGAGGGAAATGTTGGTGTGGATGCCAGTCATGCTGGTCATGCATCTGGCAAAAACGCGAGCCCAAGACCGTCCAAACGCGAGCTCAGCACAAACCCAAGCAAGCGCGGGTTCACACCTAGTCCTACCCGTCATCTCCCACGGATCTTATTAGGTGACAGCGATTCTCCTTCGCTTTCTCCTACCACGCTCTCTCCTTCTTCCTCCCGATTTACGGCTCAAGACGACATATATGAAGACGAAGACATAGACGTGCCCACTATGCGCGTCCGTGATCCATCGACACGGGACTGTTACGCTGCCCCCACTTTAGGTCAAGAATCTCGATACCAAGAAACCGCACCAACCCTCCGCGCTCCTATATCCCGCCCCATCCGCATCCGCCCCTCCACGCGCCCGCGCCCACGGAGCTACCACGATATATTGGATGACTTCGAGGTTCATGCGAGGGGTGGGAGCGTGGCTAGTTCTGTGGCAACTTCTTTGGGTGCTGTGGCTGAGGAGCGAACGTCGAGGATTGATGACCGGGTGTACCATGAGGAGGTGCATGCTGTCTACGAGGGAGGGGAGATGCACGGCAGGGGAGGGGAGATGCACGACAGGCATCAAGAAGAGGAGCTTCACGACGGTGTACAACCAAAACAACCTCGCGAACACGAGCCCACACCCGGATATGTTCACAAAAAGAAAGAAGATACTACCAGGAAGAAGAAACGGTTCTCGTTGCCTGCAGTAGCGGTGCAGACGGTGCCTGTCCTAGCGCGCTCCGATCCTGTTGGGAATTTGCATGGCGGGTGGGGGAAGCGAGTTTCGCTCGTGCTTGGTGCGCGGGCGTGGGTAAGGAACGGAGAAAGGGAAAGTGGGAGTGAGAGTACTCGTTCTTCTTTGTTGTCTTCTCGGGATGATCGAAGTGCACCTTCGCCTTCTCGCAGGGATAAGGTTGGGAAGGGTAGTAGAGAGAGTTCTGCGGCGAGGGCATTGATGGATGTGTTGAGAGGAAAGGGAAGGCGTGACGAACTGGCAAAGGGAGTGGTAGATCAAGGACATACGCATCTGTAATCTTTTGGCATTGAACGCATTTGGCTTGGATTCGCATACTATACATTACATACATCCTGCTCGGGATTCTTTTGTGCATTGAGGATTGTGGACAATATACAACTCTTGTAAAAATGCATGTCATTCTTGCTGATATGAAAGGGTTACAGTGTGTAATACCTGCTATTCGTTATCAAATAATATCAGTATGGACAGACCCCGAGCCAGGAAGCTCATAGGCAGAACGTGAACACTCGGTATAGGATTTCACCGGATCATGATAGTGCACAGCGCAACGGAACTGCGATACTTCGCTGTCAGATATGACACATTGTCACGTAAAATCAACGGGGTGCTGGGCTTATAACTGAGGTTGCAGGAGACATTAATCTTCTGAGGCTGGTAAATGAGTGATGCGTCAGACCTGTATTCGTCCGGTTCCTTGAAAGCCTAAGTCTAGGTTCAAAACAGAGGGCATGCCTCTTTCGGAACCTACTTGCGAGCCTTTGCCAGAATCACCACCATATTTTTTGTCTGCAAAATTTTCAAAGGAACCCGGATAGATTGAACGGATGCGATCCAGGAAATACTCTACGTTTACTAGTGCTGAACGCGGGCGCAGGAGTAACAGTAAAGCTTAGATTTCCGATGGAATGTTGACGGTCCCCAGGCCCACATGGAGGTCTTGCGTGATCGTACATATTAAGCTAGAGTGCTAGTACACTTCCCGCCTTGGTTACCAAAGATCGTCTCCGCATGAATATTACTCACTATCATTGGAACGTTGAGAGCGCTCATCAGAGCCCGAAAGCTGAGCATCTACTCCGCAAGAATTACAAAAGACTTCTTCGGAGTTGGAAACAAAACTCGAAGTCGACAGTGGTGGTCTGCTTCAGGAAAGCTGAATTCGATTTTATGGGAACCAGTAATGATGGGAACGTACATGATCATACCGCCAAGCCTAAAGTACTCGCGACCTCAGCTCATATGCATTATACAACTTGAATGCGTATGAGAGGTGTTGAGAAGTTTCTCTAGACAAACCCACTATGCAGCAGGCCAAATCAGGGAGGAATTCAGATGGGAGGGGTTTTGAATCTCGAAGTTCGGGGACGGTAGCTATCAAGAATTAGACGCAGAAATGCACATAAAGTCTATTGCAAAGTTCAGGTGGGCATTCTGCGGACATACCTGACAGGTTTTGAAATGGACCCAAATCGGTAGTTGAACGTTGAACAATATTGCCGTTGAGACGTTGAGCGCTAGCGTCAATCAAGCTAGAGGGCTTAGTACATTTACGAATGCATGACAAACTCCGCCTGATGGTTTCAGGGAAGATACGAGAAATTGATACATGCTATCAGGGACAGGGCCAAGCATGTGAATCCAATGGCCCCCCAGATAAATCTGCTAATGCTTAGACCTGGAGGGATTGATGTAAAAGGTATGATTCCGCAGTAGCAGGCGGCACCCGAACAGACCCTGTTGTTTGTCCAGCTCCACAAGTAAATAGAAGCGAGGAAATGTAAGAATGGGGTGGCTGGGGTACTGCCTATTAATATTTGTCGATCGTGATCACTGCCAACGTTAACTGGCCTGGCTGAAGTTTAAATCACATTCATCACAACATTCTCGATTCAAATGTTTACTCCCCAGTGGATTCCTAGTAAGTACGTCCCAATAATATATCGGGCACTAGTGGGACACATGACTTTACAACTACCCATGCAAATAGCAACATCAAGGAGCTTTCTGCAGTGCAGCTGCTCAGACTCCTCAGTAGACGAAGGGCGAGAATAGAACGACACAGCTGCATCGTGATTCGCGGCGCGCGCGAGGCATGCTCCAGCTGCATACTGAGGTAAGTACTTAGGACGCCTAGCGCTACGCCAATCTAGGCTATGCAGTAACTTGTTGACGGAGTCCCATCTTTACGTTTATTCTCTTTCATATCCGATTAAGCTGCTTGAACTTTCCGGAACATCGTGTCCTCTTGGCTTTTCAGCATATGCACCACAATTGTCTCAAAGGTAATAAGTTTGTGGTATCTCATGATGGATTGCAGGGTTCAACACACCCGCGGGGCATGTATTAGCGCGGCAATCAGGTGGTAAGCAGCCTCTTCCATTCTGCAAGGAACTCCGATGGTTCGTTGCTTCTAAATAGCGCCCCTCACACAAGTGGTGACAGCAGGGGGAACTTAGACCTAATTCGCTTGCTCGCTTCTCGCCTTCCGCCGTGATACACACCTAGTTAATAGCGCCCTGCAGCAATATTTAAGATGTCGGACAGATGTTCTCATCTCCGTTCCCCGCTCCCACCTTCAAGATGCACTTCGCAGACTTTGTCCAAATTGTGAGCCAACCTTCATTACTCTCCAGGGCCTCGTTGATTGGGTCTTCTTGTAGCGCCTGAGTGCGACTTCTCTGCTCCTCTTCACTATCTTCGGCCAGACTGTGATCTTGGGTTTTGCATGGGGTTTCGCCGGAGCAATCTTGTACACAGGGGTTCTCGCACTACCTGATAATGTCGTTCGTCTGATCGTAGAGCACCCGACCGTGCTGACCTTGATAGTTACGTTGATCGCAACTGCCTTGTCGATCACTACTTCAATGTGCGTCTTCCTTTACACGTCCGGTCCGAAATACTACCCTCCTGTTATTGTACAGGTTCTTCACATTTGCTCTCAAAGAAGCCCTTCGGCACCATCTCTCAGGGCCATCAATTACACTGTTCAAGCTTCGCACTGCCATAGCGCTGAGTAGGCCGACTTGGGTATTGCGACGGAAATTTCTCAAGCTATCGCTCCTCACGTTGGTAGTTTATGCGATGGTCGCATTTCTGAATACGAGGTCTGCACTATTCTTAATGAACCCAGCAGAGATATATCTGACGCTGGTTTATACAGTTGGAGCACTTTGCTCCTACCCACCCTTGTCGAATGGCCTGTGGGAACCTTCGGAACGGAACTAGACTTAGGATCTGCTGCCTTTGTAAACCAGTTGAGTACAGACCTTAATGGCATTGTTGCGACCACCGGTATGTAACCGCTTCAATTTCAATGACTAGCAACAGTTGGGGTGCTGAAGAGGTACCGTTTCAGATCAAGCAGCTGCTTTTGAAGTCTTGAATGTCTTGACTCTCCTCAGTGGTATTGCTGCAGTTGACATCCAGGGAGGTGTGGAGACGAGTAGCATGTTCAGCTTCAACGGAGTTTCATACAATCAGTCGACTGGTGAGTGCCTCGGCGCTTGAAGATGACGTCCTCACTGAAAACTTGAAAGGTGGAATTCTTCCCGCGATACAGGAGTACTCTGGATCATCAGCCCCGCCGGGTTCTAACGTCGGCCTGGAGTTCACTGGAGGACAAGTACCAGTGAATACCAGTTTTGACTGGGGACACCTTGGACGCGATGCAGGCACTCAAGGCATTTCGACGAACTACAGTATTACACAGCAGGGTCTCACAGCAAATGTTACATGTCAGCCGATCGACCGCAGCCAGAATACGTTTTCAGTCACCCCATACCCGGTGCCAGGACCTACGGGCTCGAATATGACGTTCATCACGTGGGAAACGGTTGCGAATTGTTCAGGAAGTGCGTTCATCTCTGCCATGAACTCGTCCGCAGCTAATCAGCTCCAGACTTAAATTCAATAACCTCCTTCACCGTTGGCAATGCGAACGGTCAGCCAGACAATGCAACGGAGGGACTTCTCCCCACTGTTGTATGTCCCAGCCCACAGAACACGACGGCATTCAACCCATATAAGTTTGGTACGACTTTTCTTACATTCCTCGGTATCTTGCGAGTAAACTGCTTGCAGATATCTTCATGTCTGGCTTGTACAAGTACAGCTTTCTGCCAACGATCGTTTGCGAGGTCGTTCCCTACCTGACCACAGTCAACGTCACTTATAATGGAGGCATCATATCTGTCGATCGGATTAGCGAATATTCTGGTTCGACAAGCAGTTCGAATTTTCCTTTGTCTCAGTTTATCGCGACTGTGATGAATTATCAAGCGACGTCAAACCAAGCCGTAGTTAAGAATACAGTTGGTGACTTTTTGACCGCGTACGGTACGAGCAATGTATCAGTGATGTATAGCGAATTGGTGAGTGTTTCCCCTTCCTCTGGCATCAGTATGACTGATTACTTTGCAGGAAGATTACTGGCGCGGTATTGCGGAGTTCTCCTCCACTGTAAGTGACCTTGATGCATTCCGTGGATATTATTGAAAACTGTATCTAGCAACTTCGATCCGGATACTCTGCTTCGGGAGTTCCGTCGGATATGGCAAGGTCGACGAGCGGCATGATGTATATCGAGACGTACGGCTGGCGAAGCCGGTCCCGAACGTTCATCTTGCTGCTCGTGGTAATCACCCTGATCTGGCTCGCCACCGTATTGGCTGCTGGGTACAGCCTCGTCCAAGAAAAGGCCACTGCCTCCGATCCATCTTTCGACTTTTCTGATCCCGTTGATCTCATTATCGCGGCATCTGGCGGAAGACTTGGACCACAGCTTCATGACGAGGATGATGAGGAAGAAGATCATAGCGAGGACGTCATTATTCGCTTTGAAGATGTAACTGACAAGATGGGGAGGAGAATGAGCAAGAAGAGACTGGTCACTGTGGGTCCTCTGGGGACCCCTTAACGTTGTATAGTAATCGAGTTACTGGATCTGTCACGCCTTATAATGACACGGTGATCGTAGTCCTCATTCAATTGATGAGTCTTAATGTATTTCATACTCCCACCGTCGGCCGAGATGTCAGGGCGCGGGGTAGAACCCGGGTCGAAATCACGAGTCTGTTGTAATCTAAACGCTTTGAAACAGACGCTCTCCCTCTTAGGTCTAGTGCTTCCTAGGAAGATGTCGCATATAGTAAATACCACACGACTGTTCGTACCGCCGGTGCTTTGAGTGAATAGTAGCACTTGACACGACCCTGAGAGTGAGTGAATTTGTCATTCATGTGCGTCTTTCACTATCTCGACTCTCGGGTAAGTAATTATACAGTCATTTTGATCTGTGTGGTCTGCACGAGGCATCATGCATCATGGGGCCCGCAGCGAAAGTTGATTCAAAGTTAGATGAACTTTGCCCTGCAGGCATCCTTGTAGCCTTAACGAGGAAACTCGGAACGCGGCACCCTAACCCATGAGGATCGATATCAGTTACATCGCATTATCATGTGGTCACATTCCCTGCTCCGATTTAACGTTCTGTGATACGCGCTCGATGGCGATTCTGCTTATATACATAGAGATCTTTGTCGGATGGGTTGGTACTATCTCAGAAAAAGGGTCTGTTGTTGTCCATCCTTGCCATTGTTCCGTTCTGTTCAGCAACCAATTGCGGTAGCGGCGACAACTGGGCGCTCCCAGGCCTAGTCGCGTGAATAGGGCAATCCTTGTAAGCATACTCACGATAACGATCATAAAGACTGGTCGGAGCCTCGAGTTCCTAACGTGGAAAAATACAGCATGCACTGAGCCGCTCTGCTCTCGGGGGAATATAACGGGAGAATATAATAGCAGCTCGTGAGGTATTTGATTGATCGGCACAATGTGCGATTCTAGTGTTTTGAAATTGACAGTCTGGAACCAGGATCCATGACAGCAAGGGTGCGGAAGAATCCGAGTCAGTGGCCCAAATTCTTCCTGGTCCTTCTTTGGTACCCGGACCTTGCATTCCATGGCATCAGTTCGTTGCATGATCATGGGTATTTTTGAAGAGTGGCTTCTGAGGCATTTGATGGATTACGGTCATCGGATCAGTGCGGTTAGTTGCGCGATTAGATGGATGACAGACAGTAGGCAGTGGTAGGTCGATCACTGATCATCTACTCCGGAAGGACAGCGAACCGAATGGAATATCTTCAACTTGACCATACACACTGCAGGTATAAAGGATCCCCCTTGCGTTGGTCGTAATTCAGCACAAGCCCAAACAACTTTTGACAACAACCCAGCATCAGCATCAATCCATCCAATATGTTCACTGTACGCACGACTTCTTGCAAGCATTTCCTTGTCTAATATTCCTTCACAGGTCACTGAAGTCCCTGTCTCTTACCACGACTCGTCGTCGACTACCTGTTCGTGCGGTAACTCGTGAGTGACGCTGTCTTTTGTTCCTGTGCACGATGTCTGATTTAGAATATCCAGGTGCTCCTGCAAGGCGGGAGAATGCAAGTGCTAAGCACCTCCGCAATGTATCAATTGAGCGGTGTTTGTTCGGAATTACTTCATGTAACAATGGAGATGAAGGAGGTGTAAAGATCGCATTCTGTAGAAATGTCATGTTGTGAAGCTGCAATAAGCCTACTAGCGAAACTGCCTTGTGCGAGCTTAACGTGCATAACGATGCAGCGGCTAAGTGATATTTGACAAGTATGCTAGGCTCGTGTTTCATGAGTTGGACGAGTTGGCCAGGGGACGCCCGAGCACGACGGCGTGTCAGGCTGCGCAAAGTATAGGCCACATATAGAAGTGAACTCCGAGCCTGTTGGAGACTGGTTCGACAGTGAAAAGATTTCATTGGCTGAGATAGTACTCTTGAGAGAGATCTGTCAGAACTTGAAGTCACTTCACAAACGTAGCATCTGAGCACCAACGTACTATACAAACCTCTGCACTGTCAAACCCACCCATGACGAACTAGTGACGAACTAATGATGACAGTGGCATTTCCATGGCTCCTGCGAGTGTCATGCACATAGGAAACGCCACGGGGTCGCCAGGCACAAATATGGGTCTAAGAACGTTAACATGGCCACGCACTGAGCTCGCATTATTTCCCATACCCGCAAAAAAGTAGGGCACAAATGCCATAGACCTGTTAATGTCCAAGCATGCCAGCTGGCACGATGGTATACAGTATATGTGAATTACAAAAAACCAGTCAGTCTCCTAAAGGAAGCGTGGAACCTTGGCCGCCATGGCAAGGGAGAAATTGTTTGAGCTATTTGCACTTGTTTGTTGCGTGTACCAGGTGGTTTGGCCAGCATCAAGTCGCCCGCACTCTCATCCACGACTCCTCCACTCTCCACAGCCCCCATCGACCCCGCAATCATGGCAAGCAAAGCAGCACACAAACGTGTAAGAACACACATTTAACTCTCAAGATGTCGCTGATAGGTCAAAATCCAGCTCGCTAAGGAGTATGTGAGCATGCAGAAAGAGCCGCCGCCGTTTGTTTGGGCAACACCGGACGAAAAGAACATCTTGACTTGTAAGTTTCAATATCTTCCATGCAGAAGCATGCTTTTGAAGCATTACATCCAGGGAATTACCTTATCGTGCGTTCTTTGAGCAGACAGCGCCATTACTATTGTTCAACAACTTCTGTTATACAGCGCGGACCTCCTGATTCGCCTTTTGCTGGTGGCGAGTATCACGGTGTACTCATTTTCCCTGCAGAATATCCCTTCAAGCCACCAGGCATCAAGGTGTGCTCCTCTTGACTCTCATCATCGTTATCTCCGACGACTTATGACCAATATGGTGCAACAGATGTTTACTCCTTCCGGTCGATTCCAACCTGACAAGAAGATTTGTTTCTCCATGTCTGATTTCCATCCTGGTACTGTGCGTCCTGTTCAACCATCCTGAAGGTCATCATCACTGAGTCATTATTAGTGGAATCCCGCCTGGAGTGTCGCCACGATGTGAGTGCCCCACTTGATTTTAACTACCCGGTTTCTTTTTCTTGTCCGGACCCCGACATGATTGATTGATAGAGGGGTATTTGATGCTTACGATCGTTGTCTTTTCTGTTCACCGACTTCCCCGCCATACCCGCCTGAGCGCTTACTCATCAAGATACATTTAGACTCACAGGATTACTGTCCTTCATGCTCTCCGACGAGATGACCACTGGCTCGGTGACATCCTCAGATGGTCACAAGCGAGCCTATGCTGCTCGAAGTCACTCTCATAATTTGACACAACCAAGATTTAGAGAAGCCTTCCCAGACGTGAGTGTCATATGTTGAATTTATTCTCCACGATACGAGAAGCCCGAGAGGGGTAGGAGTTCCGTTTCATTCGGATCAGGGTGTCATACCCAAGCTCCTGAGCGTTACTTGTTTTTACCGGTGTCAACTTGTGCCTGGTTTACTGATTAATACCACGCTTTCCGCAGTACTGTACAGATACTCCCCGAGATCTACCAAATATGGGCGAGCAGGAGAGAGGGAAACCAGATACGGCAGCCACACCCACTTCACCTACAAGCCCTAGTCCGTTTTCTCCCTCTATCTCGAGATCTACCACAGCGACGCACCAGCTGCAGGTGTGTGATAGACGACCAGCAGCACAGGCTCCCGCTGCCACGACGACGTCGCACGCAAGCGATGTCGTAAATACTAGTAGCTTGGCATCTACAAACAAGCCAACTACGACACCGCAAGGGTGGACAGGGCAGCTGCGCCAGGTTTTGTGGGAGAAATGGAGATGGGGTGTGCTGATCGCTTTCGCCGTCATTGTGTCACGGCTGTCATCGAGTCCTTGACATATCAAGGACTGTGACTACCCTGTGCCATATTTTTTTCTCTTCTCATTTTTTTCATGATTGGATAACAATAAAGATATGGACCAATTGTATCACGTATGTATGGAGGATACATACTTAGTTATCACGGCTTTGTGTTTCAAATTTCTTCATTGAAATAAACAAACGCAACTTTTTACCGCACGGAGATTATTGTCTCTTTCCTCAGATGTTGACATGTAATATTTGCTCTCGATTATTTTACAAAGCTGCAGTGCGACCAACCTTGGGTATCGGGGATTAGAGATTTTCCCATAGCCTGCCGATAGATCCTTGAGCGCCATTGACAAGCGGTTCGACCGCTTTCCAGAGATCTTCCGCAACTTCTTCCTTTGTCTTCCCTGCATCAATCTCCACCCACTTGCCCTCACTCCCACCGTCCTCCTGCATCTCCCGCCCAATTTTATCGAAGACTTGCTTCACGCCTTTCTGCACTTCTTCTTTCTCATACCTCTCTAGCCCATATCCAGCCCTGGTAGCTGCGACCTCTGGGCTGATATTAAGGAATAGTGTAAGGTCTGGCGCAGGCAGTCCAACGTCGGGAGCACGACACCATTCGTACGGTAGTCCCTTACGAGCTGAAAACGCGATACCAGAGAACGCGTATCGATCAGCGAGGACGGTCGTCCCTTGTTCAAGATGAGCTGTAATCGTAGATCTATGCGCAGAGAAATATAGACCGTGTCATTGAACGCGAAGGGATGGCAAACGCAGTGATTGTGCTCACGCAAGTTCCCAGCGGTTAGCAGAGAAGAGGAGGTGAATGGTGTGGTCGTCTAGTTCGGACTCGGAATGGAGGTACGCGTCGATCATCTTCCCGATGGCTGTTGTGCGGACTGGGAATGCATTTGTATTCAGTTTGAGTGGGGAATTGGATTGGAAATGTACTGGGGAAGTGTAGCATGACTACCTTTGTAGGCCCTGCATTTTGCGCGTCCTGTAGACGGTCGTGGAGGAGAGAGACTTGGGTACTTTTTCCAGATCTGTCTAGTCCCTCGATGACAATGAATGCACCGCGTTTTGAGCTTGACATGAGTGCTGTTGTAATATGAGTTCTCAGAGTGTTCGCATCCTTGATTAGTATTCTTTCTGCCTAATTAGCACGTACTATACAGTACATCAAAAGTCACTGATCATTACAAATGGCTTTAGCGTTGTTCTATAACCTCGCCGAGACAGTCAGACGCGTTGTGCACGCGTTTAGATCAATGATGAGATGATATCCCTAGGTACACAAGGATGGTCCAGTAGCACCAGTGCTTTTGAGCACAAAGGCGGGCGGTGCCGAAGGACGGTGTATCACCGACGGCCGCGCCCGTTCTTTCCCTTCATCGCAGTTCGTTTCCTCTCCCGCTCCTCTTCCCGTGCCTTTGCACCACGCTGACGAGGATCGATAACCTCATAATCTCTCTCAGCCTTCCTCGTTTCTTCCCCATCGTCTTTCGGGAAGTGCAGAGCATGGCCAATGAATCCGCGGTCGTCATCCACCTCAATACCCGGATCCTCTCCACCAGGGACGGTTCCACCTCCACTGTCGCCCACACGATCGCCCTCTTCTGTACCGTCCTCCATCTCCAAGTTCGCATTTGACTGTAACAATCCCCTGAAGCTATTCAAAGCAGCTAGGACATCACCCTCATCCTTCTTGCCCTTCCCTTTCTTCTGCAATCCCCGCCCCTTGGAGTACTTGGCAAGTTCTTCCTCGAGATAGGACTTTGTTGGTTTTGCCTTCTTCCGCGCAGCTTCCTCGTCGCTATCCTCACCGCCTTCTCGTTTGCGCGTCAGTCGACGGATCTCGCTCTCCATCTGCTCAATTTCAGTGCGTCGGGCGTCACTATTAGAGTCATGTGTCAACTTGGAGCACAAAATGCTATAAGATATAAAAACCTTCCGGAAGCCTTCTCTTTTGCGTGTGTTTCACGAATTTTCTTGATGTCCTTATCTGCACCCTCGGATTTACTACTTTTTGAAGGTTTCTCGTGCTGATGCTAAACTGTGTTATTCCTTATTCGGCAGTAGCTGTAAAGTATGTACCTTGGATGATTCCTTCTCAGATGCACGCTCTCGAGGTGGTTCGTTGGATTTCTTCGGAGGGCCGAGTAGAGATTCTGGCATCGGAATGCCTGTGGCATCAGGATTGTCGACCACTGCAACCTTCTGCTCAGCTGTAGTTTTTGCGTGCTCGTTGACGAGTAAACTCACAGTCGGGCCGTGCAATATTTTTCTTCTTGAACGCTACGGGTTCCGTTTCGTCATCCTGCTCTCCGCCAAAGCTCAAAAGCTTTACATCCCTTCGCAGAGTCAGCAACACAAGCGTAAATTACAATTCCTAACTCACTTTTTAGCACCTCTTCGACGTTCGGCCTCCTCTCGTTCACGCTGGCCAGCTTCTCGTGCTCGCTGCTGAGCACGCTTCTCGGCAGCAGTGATTCGGGGTATAATGTCTGGGAATGGATTGTCGACTATTGTTATCGACTTTATTTTTGGCGGACTGGGTGATGGAGGCTAGTGAGCTTTGAGAGGAAAAGGTAGCCACAAGTTTGTGTCAAACCTACTACACGGGTCGTTCATTTTCACCAATCTCTGGAAGAGGGTGAATTGATGTTAGTTGACCGAACTCCCGGAATAAGAATCACCTACCCATCTCTCCGATTTTCATGACGTCTAAGCCAAAATAGGTGAGGAATGTGAAACCATGTCTAACCTCCAAACGTACTGTACACGGTGTCCCCAATTACTCTCCCGAACAATGTATGTTTGCCGTGCAATTCATCCGCTCTGTCTGTGCCACAGGAGTGACGTCAAGATCTTCAACTCCCAAGTCTCACTGAGATGTTTCTCACCAAGGGTAATAAAGAACTGAGAATCATTAGAATTCTTCGTCCCATTGTTGGCCATAGCGACAAGCCCACGGTGAGCATACCGCAATCGCGGGTGAATTTCGTCCTCGAATGGTTCTTTGGCCAAGTATTGTGACCATGCATCAAGGTAAACCACGATAAAGACCCACCTCCATATAATGACTCCCCTCCTCCACCTGTCCCTGTTTTGTCGCCAGTTTGGACTAGAAAACCTGGTACGATTCTGCAAGGAAATTTAGGGACCCATTCCGAGTATGCTGACTCGGAGCAAGGTACTAACCTGTGAAAGATGACGCCGTCATAATAACCTAGCCTCCAAATGAGCTGGGCGCCTCGTTTTCAGAACAAATTCAACTCCTAACCTTCTAGCGCGAGTGCGATGAAGTTCCGGCATGTTCTTGGTGTTTCCTGGGTGTACGCTCAGCAACCAAGTCAGATACTCCACGAATGCAATGCACACCTTTGACCATAGTTCAATTTCAATTTCTCCTGCAGTTGTGTCGATTATCACTCGCCCATTTGTTGGGAGTGCCATTGCTGTTTGCGAGTGAGGTCAAGTGAAGTTCTGGTCGGGCGCGTGCTGCTAAGTGGACAACCCTAAAAAGGGAATTCAACTGGTAAGACTCGGTGAATTTGTTAGTCAGACAGGTTTTTTGCATACATCATGGGTCGGGTACGGAGATCTCGTACACATCATGCACAACGCGACGTGCATCGCGCATCCCGTACAAGGGTATGTACATGCTTTCTGGTCTCTGCTTCTTTATTGACTCTCAATAGGCTCGCACAAAAGATCTCGATCAAATTCAGCTCATTGATCTAGACCCGAAGGTACTAAAAATCTCCTCAGCTCAAGCGCTCCGTCTAAACTCTCACATAGAATCGAGTTGCTCTTGAAGCACAGCCAATTGACCTCGAGAAACCTGGCCTTGCCCAGCATTACTGCGTTGAATGTGCAAAGTAAGTTGTTCTGGTACCATATTCTTTCGGTCAATTTGATCATGTCGTCAAAAAGATACTTTGAGACTGATACCGCGCTCCAGTCACATTGGAGGGGTAAAGTGCACAAACGACGGTGTAAAATTTTGAAGGAGCCTGCATATACGATAGAAGAAGCAGAAAGAGCTGCTGGACTTGGGCGAGAAGGGAAAAGAACACCGATTTCTACACAGGCCATGCCGATAGATACTTAGGTGCGACGGTCATATCGTGTTTTTCTTCCTTCAGTGCTCACATATACCCCGTAGCGACTACTGTTGTGACCTAAGGATGGTTGCCTGTCTTTGTCTCCTTGGTCGAGAACTCCTGGCCATACGTGACAGCTCCTTGGACTATCGCGCCTCGAGTCAGACATTGGTGTTGTCATCAAGTGCGTAGGCCCGGTATGGTAATTGGGCGAGGATGACCAGCATCAAGTCAAGAACACATGTATCGCTCTCTAGTTCTTGTTTGCGTTTCCGTCACTCCCGATCATACTCAATCGAGATTCGCTCTTTCCCCCAATCCGCAAAAATCATTTTACTTGCCAAAAGAATATTTCCAGGGGCCCGTGAGAGGATAGTCCCAGTCGGACGACCTCAGGCTATATTCGAAAGATTTATTTGACAGAAAGACTACTACATGAAGCTTCAACTTTCCTCACGGCTGCCAGATGGGAATGTTGAGAATAGATACAAACAAAGCTGGGCAATGCAGCATTGAGACACTGCCGCTTGCTGTCCATGACCGTATGCCACGGAGGCGGTGCTGCACAGCCACTGCCACACACCCAAAGCGCCGGTATGATGCGGTAAAATCCTAAGGCCCGCCCTATTTGTATTTGTACTATGTAGTGTCCGCCTTCAAACATGCCGCCTATCCCGACAACGATAGATACGGAAGCACACTCTCTAATCGAGTCAATCGAACGGCACCACAACGACCTTTCCAGTTTCCAGATTCCTCGTCTGAGGGCGTGTACAGGTCCTTTGACCACGCAGCAAGCATGTGCTGCGGAGGTAAGGGAGGACATCGAAGGTCTGGCGAGGCAAACTGAAGTATGTCAGTTCACGCTTTTAGGTTCAATCCATACTCACTACCTGTAGGAACTGGATGTCCTGGTTGACGACCACAGGACTGAGCGGGCGAGGAGAGAGTTGAGGAGGAAAGTCGAATTTTTTCGTGATTCGTTAATAAGGTATGTAACCGTTTCAGTATTTTTTTTCCATCCTCTGACACGCATGTTTCTTTTGATATCAGTCTACGCAAGGACGCTCGAGCAGCAGTCCTAGCGTCGAAACACGCGATTGACTCCAAGAGTCGGTCACAGCGAGAAGAGTTGTTGAGGTCCCCTGCCATTCGGCCGAAAAGTACAAGCTCTTCGAGCGAAAAAATAACGTTCGTACGCTGATGCATTCATACCCTCCCATACGGCTAACTTGTGACCTACAGCGAAGACGTACTCATGAAAGCCAATCATGATGTCACCGAAGCGCTTCAACGAACCATGGGACTCATGCAGAAAGAGCTCGAGCGCAGTGTATTATCTTGTCAACTACTAGGTAAGTTTTTAATTGTATCGTTTTTCTCTAATACCTACTGTCCGCTTCACACAGAATCGTCTACTGCAACTATCCAATCCACATCCACAACACACGACAAGCTCGATCTCATCCTGGGCACTTCCAAACAACTCATTACCGCACTCGAAAAGACCGACTGGCTCGACCGCGTCCTTATTATTTCCGGCCTCGTGTTTTTCGGCCTCGTGGTCCTCTTTATAATCAAACAGCGCATCATTGACCGTGGGCTACGTATCGCCTTGTTCTGGACGAGATTCTTCCCAAGCCCTGGCTCAAGTACGCGCGGGGTGGTGCAGAAGGCTGGGGAGGTTGTACCGACTGTATCGGCCGCCACTACTGGTTTGAATGCAAACCACGTAGTGGAGGATGTCTCATCTGGTATTTGAATAAATGTATGAGATGTTGCCTTCATCATCGTACGAGCGGCGGTATTATGTGCGGTAAGAACACCTCTTTACCCTTGTTTTCTCCATACCAAACCATATCATGTGCAACTCAGACCTGGACTGGGTCTATCCCAGACGAACATCATTCTCTCCGCGATATGGAATATCTTTTGGGTTGGTATTCCCCGACGTAGCTGAAAAATTTGTCCAAGAATCTTAAATCACGGTCCAGTAGTTGAGGCCTAGGGCCGAGCTTCCGTCAAGGCATGATTTACGTTCGTGAGTTTTCTTTCTTATCGAATTTTATTTATTTCCGTTTGACTGTTGTTCTGTTAATGGGGCCGTGGGGGTGGCTGAGTACATGTTTTCAGGCTTTCGAGATGTACCACTAGTGACCGAAATTCACCGAATGCATATGTCTGACACTGACTTACGGATAACTAAGTCAACTTGTCGCACTTCTAGAAGACGAAGGGTGGTACATCGGGAAGTGACGAGACTTAGAGCTCAAGTTGAATCCGAGCACCAATATGCATGCAGGTAGGTGATGAGCACGAGACATTAGTCTAGTGGCATCGGACGTGGAAATGCTGCAGATAGATCTCCAGGGTCTGCTTTGAAAGGAAACTAGTCCAATACACATGCATGTAGTATGATACGAAAGTACAAACGAAAACCGCTCAGATCCCTAATCTTCAAAGGAAAATGCATCAACAGTATTTCAATCGTCTTGACGTTCATCAGGTCCCGGACAGAAGCCACATCTTTGACCTGCGCAATGATATCACGATCCGACGCGACCCCTTTGTATTCTCCACCACGCTACCGCGCTAGTAAAAATGCGCCAAAAGGCTGCCCAAGGCGAACAACCAACCGCAATGCTCGCGAATCTAGGTCACCCACCTCCTGATTTACAACAGAACGGCGAGGTGAGTCGTCAGACAGAGACGATGGCGGCGTCCGATCATCCCCACGCTCTCTGTATCGTCTTGAAGATCTGCAAAGTCTGATAACTCGAGGAGAGACCGATCCCAGGGACGGACGAGCACGAAGGTTTGTTGATTGGGCCTTGTCCGCAAGAACTGGACAATCGGCTTTTTGGTGGTGATCAGCAGGTCATAAAGCCCGTCTGCCTTGACTTCATATCGAGTCTCCTGGGATGTACTATAGCTCAGACTGACTTGTGTGACACGGAATACCATGCAAGGCAGATGTAGTCTGCAGTTCGAGAAACGAGCAGCGCTCGTGTTATCAAGCCGGTCGTAAAGTTCCGAAGCCAAATTCACAACCATGAGAGTTTCTCGGAGGGAAGAGATAGTTGTCTGAATCTGATCTTCGGAGAAAGATGGAAGGGTACGTGGAGGAGTGGCGTAAGAAGTGATATAGGCTGGAAGACAGCTATTGAACTCGGAAGCTTGTCCGACCCAGTCGAGGACGGCGATGTCTCTCAACCGAGCCACGATCTCTTGCAAGAGTCGTCCGAGCGCGTTCTGCTTCTTCTCCCCGTAGATTACAGGTAGGTGGACACCGAAGATACCAAACAATGAGTACGCGACGTCCTCTTGCAATGTGGTGACGCAAGATGACGCCCATTGAAGTCTGTCGGGCGTTGTTCAAACGTTCATCCCTGGACGAAAAGAAATCAGGGCCATACGTCTGTCCAGAACCCCGAAATTGGCCAACTGATGTGGGAGCCCCCATCTTTACCTTTCATAATTAAGCTGCTTGAACTTTCCGGGACTTCATTTCCTCCTTACTTTTCAACTGGTGGACAGATTTGAATGCTATAGATAGCAATATACAGTGCATCAGCGCTCAGCTATTGATAATCACATGACCTTACATAGGAATGGAGAGTTGCTGACAGTTTTGTGATCGGGGAGCGCTCGGGACCAGCCATATATGAATATTGAAGCACGGACGAGTCGAGTATCCGTAGTGTCGTCAATTAAAATCGTTCACCGTTCAGCGTAGCCCTCTCGGAGAGGCGAAGCACGGAGTTTGAATTTTAGTAAGTGCCGGTTGTACCGGCGGAGAGTACCTTACTTTTCTCACTTTGCGCTGCAGCACTAAAATTGTCATAGGACACTCCAAAACATATCATTGGCTGTATATTGTCCTCCACCACTGCAGTATGCTCTGCCGCCTGAATCTTTGGCATGGTCAGTAGCAAGGAGGAACAAAATTCTATTCTTGCTGAAAACACTCAGTGGCATGCGGGCGACGGTCATGAACCTCCTGCTACACAGGAACCCCAGAACAGCCTCCTGCATTGGCAGAAACCCTGCTTGACCTAAATTTAAATGTCAAGTTGGTGTTCTGATATGAAAGTCTGTTTCGACAGAAACAGCAGATTATCATGATGAATGGATCAACGCGTATTGCAGTCCAAAGATCACAATGTTCGCTTTTCACCTTCCGTGATACGCACTGAATTAACAGCGCCCTGCAGCAATATTTAAGGTGTCGGACGTGCGTCCTCACCTCCATTCCGCGCTCCTACCTTCAAAATGCACTTCCGATTCGCAAACTTCGTCCAAATCGTGAGCCAACCTCCACTATTCTCCAGGCCCTAGTTGATTAGATGTTCTCACAGCGTTTGAGTCCTACTACTTTACTCCTCCTCACTGTCCTCGGCCAGATTGTGATCATGGGTTTTGCATGGGGCTTCACCGGAGCAATCTGGTACATGGGGGTTCTCGCACTGCCTGATCATATCGTTTATCTGATCGTAGAGTATCCGACCGTGATGACCTTGATAGTTACGTTGATCTCAACTGCCTTGGCGATCATTACTTCAACGTACGTCTTCCTCTGCACATCCAGTCTGAAATCCTACCCTTCTGTTATTGCACAGGTTCTTCACATTTTCCGTCAAGGAAGCGCTTCGGCACCACCTTTCAGGGTCATCGATTACACTGTTCAAGCTTCGCACTGCAATAGCGCTGAGCAGGCCGACCTGGATATTGCGATGGTGATTTCTCAAGCTGTCGGCCCTCACGTTGGTGGTCTATGCGATGGTCACATTTCTAAGCACGAGGTCTGCGCTGTTCTTAATGAACCTAGCGGAGATATGTTTGACGCTGGTTTATACAGTTGGAGCACTTTCCTCCTACCCACCCTTATTCAATGGCCTGTGGAAATATTCGGAACGGAACTAGACTTGGGATCTGCTGCATTTGTAAATCAGTTGAATAGGGACCTTCATACCTACAACTACACTGCGAACTCCGGTATGTAACCGCTTCAATCTCGATGGCCGGCAACAGTTGGGATGCTCAAGAACTGTTCCAGTACAAGCACCTGCATTTGACACCATCAGTGTCTTGGCTCTCCTCGGTGGTATTGCTGCGGTCAGCGTTCAAGGAGGTGTGGAAACGAGTAGTATGTTCAACTTCAACGGAGTTTCATACAATCAGTCGACTGGTGAGTACCTCGGCACTTACAGATGATATCTTGACTTTGAAACTTTCAAGGTGGAGTTCTCCCCGTGATAGAGGAGTACTCTGGATCATCAACCCCGTCGGGTTCTGACGTCGGCCTGGCGTTCACCGGTGGACAAGTACCAGTTAATATCAGTTTTAACTGGGGACACCTTGAACGCGATGCAGACACTCAAGGCATTGCGAAGAGCTACACTGTTACACAGCAGGGTCTCACAGCAAATGTTACATGTCAGCCGATCGACCGCAGCCAGAATACGTTTTCACTTACCCCATACCCGGTGCCAGGACCTACGGGCTCGAATATGACGTTCATCACGTGGATAACCGAAGCGAATTGTTCAGGAAGTGCGTTTATCTCTGCCATGAACTCGTCCGCGGCTAATCAGCTCCAGACTTAAATTCAATGACCTACTATACCATTGGCAACGCAACCGGTCAGACAAACGATGCAACGGATGGATTACTCCCCACTGTTGTATGTCCCAGCCCAAACTCGATGACATTCAACCCATATAAGTTTGGTACGGCTTTTCTTATACTTCTCGGTGTCTTGTGAGTAAATTTCTTGCAGATATCTTCATGTCTGGCTTGTACGAGTACAGCTTTTTTCCAACGACCGTTTGCGAGGTCGTTCCCTACCTGACCACTGTCAACGTCACTTATAATGGAGGCATCATATTTGTCGATCGGATTGGCGCATCTTCCGGTTCGACAAGCAGTTCAAATTTACCTGTATCTCAGTTTATCGCGAGTGTAATGAATTATCAAGCGGGGATAAACCAAGCCACAAGCACGAATACAATTAGTAACTTTTTGGCCGCGTATGGTACGAGCAATGTATCAGTGATGTACAACGAACTCGTAAATTTTCCCCCTTCCTCTGGTATCACATGACTGATTACTTTTTTTTTTTTTTTTTTTTTTTGCATCAGATTTAGTCCTTTGGGGTCATTGACCCTATGTTGGACATTTTTCGTCATGTGCGTTTTTCTCTATATGGGACGGGGCAGATATATGTGCTAGCGCTGCTTATGGGACTGACACGTACTCCCTGTGCTGCCTGGTGGGGCAGCACAGGTAAGTACAAAAGGAACACTGTGGCGGGGAGAGGTTAGTAGGTATGGGAGGTCATTGAGAGTCTCGCGGGAGGCTTAGCGTGTGTATGCTGTTATGTTTCATTTCCTCCGATCCATGGGCCTATTAATTTCCGTGTGCCAACAGTGACGTGATGGGACACGGCTATCCTTTTGTTGTGGAGTAATGTTATTATTTTTGTGGGTGGGAGTATGATAGTTTTGATGGTGGTGGTGGTTGCGAGCGCTGTATTGGGGTCGGGGTATCGGGATATCGAGGTGCCGGATTATTGGGTTATGTGCGTTTGGGGTGTGTCGTCGTCGTCTGTATACTGTACGGTAGTGGCATGTTTGAATAATATTTACATCTCACCGAATGTCGGCTTGAAACGTCCTGTGCTATTGATGAACTTGCTGAGATGCGGGATAGCCTTTTCGGATGTGAGGATGTAGGAGATCGATGTGGCGTCACGTCGGAGGGCATTGGAGAGAATATGGCGTTCTTGTCTGTACTGAGGACAATCAAAGAGATAGTGATGGATGGTTTCTTTCGTTCCAGGACAGATGGGGCAGTTAGGTGAATTGCTCTTGCTGATTCGATGGAGATGGTGGTTGAGCGGGATGTGACGGGTGCGAAGTTGAATGTATATGCTTGAGGTGCGTTTCGGGAGACCGTTGACGAGTTTGATATATTTTTCAGATGGCATTGACGGGTCGATGGTGCTGGTGCGCGCATACCGGGGGGATTTCTCCCATAGCTTCTTCCAGAGGTCTCTTGATTTGGTTTTCTGAGATGCCATTAGTGCTGATGCGCTTCTCTGCAGTCGTAGGCCTCTGAGGTACTTCGGGAGTAGGTGCGCTGGGCTGTTGCGTTCGTTACCTTTCGCAGCGTCTTTAGCTTCCTTGTCCGCTATTTCATTTCCTACCACCTTCATATGTCCTGGAATCCAGCGTACTGTTAGCTTGAAGTTGTCTTGTGTTTCCCTACGCTGTGCTAGGCGTTTAGTCATTCTCTCGAACTGATCTGCGACATAGCCGCTTCCTGTCTTGTTCATCACCTCGCCGGTGTGAATTGCGGCTTGATTGTCAACTAGTATGGAGAGTGGGTAAATGAGGTTCCTTTCCGTAGCTATGAGGTGCGCTGCCAAAGTTAAACCTAGTAATTCCGCTTCGTAGACCGTGTGTTCCTCATCGTTTCCCAGGTGATATCTTAATGCCCATGGTTCTTGGCCTTCTCTAAGGAGTACTGCTGCTGCGCCTATCCCTCCTTGATATCCGGAGCCATCTGTGAAGATTTGAATGCGGTCAGTGAGTGTCTGCTGTTCTCGTATGGCCTCTGCTTTTGAGGTGGCAATTCGTGTCTGATATACGCTCTTCCCCGTTGATGTCTTCGTTTTCGCAGGGTCTATGGTTTCGACGTCGCCGGGGTAGATTCGGAACATGTGGAGTAGGTTATGTAGGGATGAGCGGTGGTGCTGGACGTTATGGCGGGCTATCCAGGTGAGTTTCTTGTGTAGCGGATGGGATTGAGGAAGGGAGACGAGGCGGACGGTGGCTCGATGGCAGATCTTCTGCATGAGGATGGATATTGGGAGAATGTTCGCGTGGGCTTCAAGGGAGTCTGTTGGGGTGGTGCGCATGGCTCCTGTGATACTTAAGGCGGCTATTCTCTGGACTGAGGTTAGGCGATTCATGATTCCCTTGGATCCGCGCTGCATGTTTCCGGTGTCGTCCTTGAAGAGTGGCCTGAACCAGATATCTGCGCCATATGTGAACTTCGGGATGGCTATTGATTGATATAGTTGGCGCATGAGTTTGGTCGGTATGCCCATGGTTGTCTTGGATAGGCGTCTTAGCTGGAGTACGTATTCGGAGCCCTTGGCGATGGCGTATGCAGCGTGTTCTTTCCACGTGAGTTCTTGATCGACGATGATTCCTAGGAAGCGAGTGTGATGGGAGGGTTGGATGGTAATGCCGTTGAGTGTGATGGGCCTTCGCTCTTTGGTTTTGCTGCGGGTGAAGTCTATTAATGTGAACTTGTTAGTTTCGAATTTTGAATTGTGTTCCCGTGACCATTGGTATCCTCCTCCTTCACGTTCGAGCATATCCTTAAGTATTTCGTGTGTCGCCTCGAAGGAGTCTGCTACCGCTATATAGGCTGTGTCGTCGACAAAGGCCAGCGCTATCTCTTCACGTCTTCTTCCTATGCGTCCTTTGGCTACTTCCACGAGATCTGAATTATATATTAAGTAGCAAATCATTGATAGTGGGTCGCCTTGTCTGATTCCGTTGTCAACGGGAAACCAGTTGGATTGGAAGTCGTCGAATCTTAGTTGGGTGCGTCGTCCAGTGAGCATGCGTTCGGTGAAGTTGACTAGTTTGGGTGGGAGTCGTCGTTTTCTCATATTGTGTATGAGCCGCGCTGTTACCGCGTTGGGGAAGGCCCCTTCTATGTCGAGGAAAAGTACCGAGGCTACCTTTTTCGATCTCCATGCGTCCTTGATTGTCGCTTCGAGTAAATGCACCGAGTCCGTTGTTGAGCGTCCTGGTCGTCCTCCAAAGTGATTTGCCGGTAAGAGTTGGTATTTTTCCAGGATGTTGGTGACTTGGCGAGTGACAATAGCCGTGAGTAGTTTACAGGTTGTGTTGATGAGTGCGATCAGGCGATACGCCTTAGGTATCGAGTAGTCAGCTTTCCCGGGCTTTCGCAGCACGACGGTTGTGAACTCTCTCCAGGGAGCGTAATAGGTTTGAAGCATGAATACCGCATTGAATAGCGGGGTGAGATGGGGGGTTAGTATGGCAGCGTTGCGTTTAAACACTATGTTACATATTTTGTCAGGTCCTGGGGCTTTGTAGGGGCTGGTGTTGATGATGGCTTTCTTGACGTCATCTTCGGTGATGGGTTCGAAGGGTGTGACAGGGTCTGGGTATTCGAAGTCGATCGGGACGGAGTTAGTGGCTGGGGCCGGAGGGAAGAAGGTCTGGGCGAGGGCTGTGCTTTTTTCGGTGTTGGTGATCGCTTCCGTGGTTGATCCGTCGGGGTTCTTGATTTGGAGTACCGGGATTCTGGTCTTGCCTCCATCGCTGCTTGGAGTGGTAATATACTTATTCGCGATCCAGATTTCTCGCTGGGTGGCTTCTTCCAAGAATTGGATCCAATGTTCCTTCTTGGCTTGATAGATTGCTTCTGAGACTTTGTTGCGGTACTTCCTATGTTCTTCGTGCGATGGATGATCACGCAGCGCTCGATGTTTATAGGAGAGATCACTTAGCTCGTGCTTTCTTTCCATCATCTGTGATATTTCCCGTGTCCACCATCGTTTAGCATGCGGGTTCGGTTTGGACTTTGGTACCTTGGCTTCAATTACAGCGTCGAGTGTTTCAGCTAGTCGGTTAGCTGCTGTTTGGAATTCTTCCTGTGTGGTCAGTTCTACTGGTGGAGGGATTGAGGCCAGCCGCTCTTTGAGTAGTTCGCCGAAGGCTTTCCAGTCAGTTTCTCGATAGTTGTGGCTGATGGTTACTGTAGCTTGAGGGATTTCTAAGTCTAGAGTGATTAGGATGGGAACGTGATCAGTTTTGGGTGCTCGGAGTCTTGGTGCCGTATCACAGATGATGAAGGATTCGAGGGTGTTATCGGAACAGAATACGTTGTCCGGGCGGGTCCAGTTCCCGGAACTCGTTGATTGGAGGGTAGGTTTGTCTTTGGGCAATGCTTGACACATGCCGTACTCGGCCATTAATTCTAGCCATGCTTGGGCATTAGTTTGAGCTTCCCGGGATTCGAATAGGTGGCGGTTGCGTGCTTCTTCCCAGAGGGGATGGTGGCAATTGATGTCTCCGAGCCAGATCATGTGGTCTTCAGCCGTTGGTCGTATCGTTCGGATGTTGGTTTCCATGTATTGCTGAAGTGCCGGGGGGGAATCCTGTTTTACACCATCGTTGTAAATGTTGAAGATAGTCAGTGAGCCGAAAACACCGCTGAATTGGATTACTACTATATCTGCTGAGGGGAAAGGGAGTTGGCGCCAACTGTTAGTATTGAGACGTTTATTTACAAGCGTTACCGCTCTTGAACGTTTGGAGTGAGTGAAACGTTGGGTAGGGTATACCACGTGCCAGTCTGGGGTAGCCCTTGTATTACCTTTGTTATCTATGGTCGGTTCCTGAATTGCTACTATGTCCCAGTTGCGAGCTACTGATGGACCACTGAGAATGCAGTGTTGTGCGTCGGGTGAAGTGTTGAGGTTTTGCTGCCAGATGCGTAAACGTATCACGGAGTTGTCCGGTGTACTAGACATTCCATCTAGACGGGGACGAGCTGGCTTCCGATGAGTCGATGGGTCCTAGTCCAAATCCGGATCCAGATTGAGGCTGAGAAGACTGATTGTGGTTGTATCTAGGGGTAGAGCGGTTAGGTACAAATCCTCTGGAGGGTGGGCCTCCTCCTCTTCTGTATGCTAGGTTAGCTCCGGTCGCGTATGAATCTAGTGTGCGTTGAGTAGGAGGTGCATTGTCCCGCGGAGGTGGAGTTGGCTTGCTGTAGGGTGCCGGTTTGGTGGGAGCCCTGACCTGCGTCCATTCTTCATTGGTGGGGTAGTATGGCATGGCGTTCTCCGGGTATCGTTTATCGGTGTCTTCGCATTTCTTCTGGAAGGTGGGGCAGTCCCGGCTCCAACTAGGATGTTCGTCGGATTCACATGTTGTACAGTATTGCTTGTCTCTTGCTGTGCAATCGCTGGTGCGGTGATTGTTCCCGCAGTTTGCGCATGTGTCGGTGTGAGAGATACATTCACGGGCGATATGGCCATAGTGCTGACACTTGGCGCAGCGCATTGGTTCACGTCGGTTCTTTTTCAGCCAGAGTTTGAGTTGGCCGAATGTGATTCCATCGCGTATTGCCGTGTTTGCTGCTATTGAGTCTGTTAGTGTAATGAGGATGTGAGCTACCTGTTGGGTGCTTGTCCTTTTCTCAACCGGTTTGATCCAGCGTGCCGTTAGTATAGAGTCTTTCTTC